CGAACAGCATGGATCCTGATCAGACTGCACGGATGGGTAGGCTAGTGTGGATCCATGCTGGTCGCAAACACACTATGTTGGTTTTGTTGTGACGCGGCTCATATGGTTTTCATTGGAATACATTGTTAATATTTTAAAGCATACTGTTTTATCAAGGGTGTTTTACAGTTGTTATTTGAGATTTGTGTTTTCAACTTGTCTACTTCATGTCTTGTATAAATTATAAATACATTGTACATGTACAGCATTTTTATGTGTTTTAGTATCATCAATAAAATTTTATTCTATTAAACAGGTTCTCAGGTGAAAAAGAAATCAGAAATCGTCTATTTGAGGCCTTTAAACATAGTTCAGCAATTGAGACTTCAAAATCAGAAATTCAATATTTAGTTTGTCTGTTTCAAAGAAAATGCCCAGCTTTTATGATTGCTGCAGTATAGTCATTTTTGTCGTGCAAAAACTTTTACTCAATCATTTTAAAGGATATCAACTTGGCATGCTTAATAATCATGACAAGTGCAGTTGTTAGACAAGGGGCATAATTCTGAAAGTAATAATTTTTAGTTATCCTCTTTTTAACCATGTGGTGCTATTTGAATTTTATTTTTGTTTAGTCGATGATAATTTACAGCCTACTTTTTGGTAAAGTGTATCCTGAGCATATATAACTGTTGTTGAAGTGAACTCATATCTTAGCTTTTCTTAATGCAATAATAATTTTGACAACCAGGGACAAGGCAAAATCTTTTTTCACCTTTTTGTTGAACACTGTGGATATTAATGAATTCATAATTTATTATGTGCAGACATGTTAAATATTCCTTTTTAATTTTTGCTTGTTTTGTGAATAAATTTTTCATATATTCACACAAAAAATAGTCTATTTATTTCCAAATGAAATTCAAGCTATCCTCAGTAATCCAGGTATTACTGTATTAATGTAGTATATACAGAATGTGTACCATGGGTTCCGACGATGAATTCAAGCCAGTATTGTTCATTTTAGTTTCATTTTTTTTATCATATTATTCCTTTTGTTGAAACATATATTCATATTTGTTAAATATATAATGTAATAAATACTGTTTAATTATTTGTATTCTTTTTGCTCAAACTCAACTGACAAATCTCATCTGACTGTATATAAAGAATATATTACTTTCAGTGATTAAAGCTTCTGATCAAGATTCACAATATTGGTAAATTGATAATGATCATAATTCACAATATCAGCAAATTTATAAAGATCAAGATTCAAAATATCAGCAAATTTATAAAGATCAAGATTCACAATATCGGCAAATTTATAAAGATAATGATTCACAATATCGGCAAATTTATAAAGATAATGATTCACAATATCGTCAAATTTATAAAGATAATGATTCACAATATCGTCAAATTTATAAAGATAATTAGTACAATGAGTAAATATAGTTATTGATTGAATTATTTTAAAACTTAAAATAACTGTTCACAATTATTAGTTAAAAGATAACCTATATTTAGTTAATTTGATTCACTCAAATGTACTAGTTGATAAACAAAGTAAAATAAATGATGTGTATTGTTTCCGAGAGGTCAGAATCACAGTATGTCTATCTCCGTCTCGAATATTTTCAAATATTTATACTTAGCTACAAGAAATGATTCAAACTGTATTTATATTACATTTTATTCATTTTTCATAGACTTCCCTCAATAGAACATCATAAAAAATCATCAGGTTTACAATTATGAATGGTCATCACACTTGTCTCTGTTTGAACATACATTATGTATAATTTGTTTCTACAATTGATCATCATATTTTATGTCTGTATTTGAATATATGTATGTTATATCTATATAGACTTATTGTTGTAGTAATTTTAAAATTGAAGCAATTTAAATAAATGTAGAAATATGAATTATTAGCTTACTTTTGCATTTTGAAACGTTAAATCCAGGGTTCATGTCCTCCAGTATCTGATCTACCCATCACAGTTACTAATTTGAAACTAGAAACATATTCTGGGTACCTACATGAAAGATCACAACATTGCTCAATAGTGCAAATTTCCAAACTCTTAAATGTATTTTTTTTTTGACAATGTTACATGCAACTGTATTTTGACAACATTGTGCCACTAATTATTTTACTGTAATACCACAGAAACTTTTAATACCTCAGACTAGAGTATTATTAACTTGGAATATTATACATAATCTTATATGGAGGATCCGCAAGGAAGAGCATAAATCCAGATTTGACAACTTAAATTAAGATGCCCATCTTTTACAACAACAATGTCCTTAAATTTAAACTTCACCAACTTACTTTTTACACATATAAGAATATGTATGATATTTTTAATTTTTTTAGTTGAATTCAACATCACACCAACATGGCCACTTTCATGCTTTACTGGTAAAGACAAACCTCGGATGACAAACTGGCACCCAAGTAGAACAACAAACGTTCCATAAGCTAGCTGGATAGCTTCCTCAAATATGGAGGATATGAACAATACTAAGGACATCAATGATATGAACTATACGAAGGACATCAATGATATGAACGATACTAAGGACATCAATATGAACGATACATAGGACATAAAATATATGAACAATACCAAGGACATAAAAAATATGAACAATACTAAGGACATCAATAAGATGAACGATATGAAGGACATCAATGATATGAACAATATGAAGGACCTCAATGATATGAACTATACGAAGGACATCAATGATATGAACGATACTAAGGTCATCAATAATATGAACGATACTATGGAAATCAATAATATGAACGATACTAAGAACATCAATGATATGAACAATACTAAGGACATCAATATGAACGATACATAGGACATAAAATATATGAACAATACCAAGGACATAAAAAATATGAACAATACTAAGGACATCAATAATATGAACGATATGAAGGACATCAATAATATGAACAATATGAAGGACCTCAATGATATGAACTATACGAAGGACATCAATGATATGAACGATACTAAGGTCATCAATAATATGAACGATACTATGGAAATCAATAATATGAACGATACTAAGAACATCAATGATATGAACGATACTAAGGTCATCAATATGAACGATACATAGGACATAAAATATATGAACAATACCAAGGACATAAAAAATATGAACAATACTAAGGACATCAATAATATGAACGATATGAAGGACATCAATGATATGAACAATATGAAGGACCTCAATGATATGAACTATACGAAGGACATCAATGATATGAACGATACTAAGGTCATCAATAATATGAACGATACTATGGAAAATCAATAATATGAACAACACCAAGAACATCAATGATATGAACAATTCTAAGAGCATCAATGATATGAACAATTCTAAGAACATCAATGATATGAACGATACTAAGGACATCAATGATATGACATCAATGATATGAACAATACTAGGGACATCAATATGAACCATACTAAGGACATCAATGATATAAACGATGCTAAGGACATCAATGATATAAACGATGCTAAGGACATCAATGACATGAATGATATGAAGGATTTCAATGATATGAAGGACATAAATAATATGACATCAACGATATGAACAATACTAAGGACATCAATGATATGAACAATACTAAGGACATCAATGATATGAACAATACTAAGGACATCAATGATATGAATGATACAAAGGACATCAATGATATGAACGATACTAAGGACATCAATATGAACGATACATAGGACATAAAATATATGAACAATACTAAGGACATCAATGATATGAACAATACTAAGGACATCAATGATATAAACGATGCTAAGGACATCAATGATATGAATGAATACAAAGGACATCAAATGAAATATGAACGATACCAAGGACATCAATGATATGAACGATAACCAAGGACATCAATGATATGAAAAAGATACTAAAGACATCAATGATATGAATGATAGTATGTCAAAGATATGAAGAACATCAACGATATGATGGATTTCAAACAATATCAAACAATTTATGCAAAATTAAGTGTCACTACTGCAACATGGGTAGCTTTAAACATAGCTAAATAATCAAAAAAGATACCAGACATGTACTTGTAAACTTCTGGACCAATTTTTGAAATAACGCAAAAAATTAAGATTTTTTATCATTTAATAATTAATACATGAAGTATATTCCTTCTCATTTTCAAACATAAATAACCGCTTTGACCAGTAACGAAAGACCAAAGCTTTACAAAAATTAATATTAAATACATATTATTATAAACAAAATATGCAATTTTTGTACAGACTTTTTTTTTCCTAAATTTGGGTTTTTCAAAGTTTTAATTTTTTATAAAAAGGGAATTTTTTGAAAACTTGTTCTGTTTGAGGAAATGCATGTTTCCTTATATTCAACTATTTCTATTGTTTCTGTTTTTGTTCTTTCACTATTCAATGAGCCTTTTGCTATACTTAACTGCCAATATGAAATTTCATATTTTCACAACTTTTTTTCTGAAATCAGAATCTTAAAGAAAATATGGTTTGTTTTTATCATAAAATAAAAAAATATTCCTAACATCAGATAATTTACTACAAGCTACTAGATAAGATCTATAAGAAGTTGAATTAAAAATCAGCCACCAGATAAAAATTTAAGACCAAGTAAACCATGTAAACATGATATCACAGGTATTCTTTACCTGGATAAGAGGAGAGAATTGCAACAAGTATAAAAGTTTGGAAGTGGCTAGCCGTAAAGGCCTTTACTTTCCTTTCAGCTAGCCAAAAAAATTTTTTTTTAAAAGGGCTGTACCTGACTTTTTATATGGCTAAAATTTAAATTTTGGCTAGCAAAAAAAAAGGTTTCCTTTTAAAAGGGGTAGGCACTCCTTTAAAATTTTTAAAATTAAAATATTGCAAAAAATACCTTTTTTGAGATTTTTTCCATTTAATGGGTTTTTTAAAATTTATCATGGGATCATGAAAATTTAAAACAAGTCTTACTATAATTGTTCAAATATAAACCTGTATATTAAAATTTTGCGAGTACACTTTCCTTTGTCATGAAAAAAATGTTAACTTCATATTCTCTGAAAAAGTCCAAATTTAATTACTTTATCGTAAATTCTGAACACGCTTTTTTTTTCAGTGAATGAAGAGATGTGAGAGTTATCTTTTAATAATGAGTGGAGTGTACGAGTTATCATAAAGAAAAACGTTTTTATCGTCACATGATTTTTCCTTCTTTTTTTCACACCTTTTTTCCCCTCTATGAACATAAATAATTTTCTGAATCTCTGACAATGAGAATTGCTTATATATAAGTTACAGTCGGAAAAATAAAATTATAAATTATTTTCACTTTAAATTCTTCATCCTTTCATCTAAACTTTCACAATTATTCTTTATAGTTGAAATATTTTCATTCATTGTTCCCTCCATCTGCAAAGATAAAAATAACATTTTCGATACAATAGACATAGTACATGTGTAATAATAAATATAATTTTATTTTGTTCGGTTTTATGGTACATCAACACAACTTTGGTCATATGGCGCCAAAACAGGGAAGATGATTTTGACTAACCTCAGGTGTAACAAAATTGAGAGCAACACCAGGGAAGCAACACCAGGGATCAAAAACACCTCATCTGCTGGAGCTAAGTGATGGACTCCCCTAATTTGAACCCATTTAGTCGCCTCTTACTTTTATGCAGGGATACAAGGTGGCTGCAATACTGATGCCTCAACCCTTAAAAGGCAACCCCTCAACCACAAGAGGTACTTATAAATATAAAATTTCATATCAGTTCTATAAAAATCTTGACAAAAATACTGATGAAACAACTTATCAATATTATGTTCACAAATTCATTTTAACCAGGTTTAAAGCCAAAACTTTCCAGTCTTCCAGAGAATCAAACCAGAAACTCCTAGATTACAAATCCGATGCTCTCTATTGAGCTAAGCGGGCAAACATAGTATTTTATAGTAAGGACTTTGCAAAACAGCCATTTGTCAGTAGTAATACAGATCCACTTACTTGTTTTAACATATCACCATGTGATTTAAGACTAGTGTTAATTTCTTCCTGTGTCGTGTCTAAATATGCCAGGGCTTGACTAAACTGTAGGGCTGCAAAATATGAAATGATAGTAGAAGTTAAACACAAATTATTATTATTTAAAGAGAAATAAATTGCTAGCATCTGCATCTACAAAACCGTTCTGTAGAAAATGGGAAAAAATTGAAACTTCATATAAGTCAAATTGCGTCTAAACTTGATAGCATATATCTCATTGTTGCAACAATTTAACAAGTATTAAACATGATTTATTTTCATAAGCAACAACAAGATCACTACTCATTAAAACATGTACAGTCAAATTAGAAAATATATTGCAAATAAAGATTCATATCAAATATTTTTTCCCATGAAATGACAAAAATCTTGTTGAAAAAAAAAATTTCTATTCTATTCTCAGAGCTTGAAGGATAGCAAAACAAGAACCTGGACAATGTAAAATTTTCTAAGTTCAAATAGGGTATAATTATGTTAGAATCCATGTTAGAGTATTGGGTATTGGAACGTGACGTCCTTTATGCTCTCAAATAAGTGTATGAAGTTTTAACCCATTTCATCTGGTTCTTTTGGAGATACCAACTTGCACACAAAAGACTTGATCAAAGTATTACGCCGACGCCTGGCTGAGTACCATAATCTCTCCCTAATCTTCAAATAGTCGAGCTAATTATTGCAAGTTTCTTTATTCACTCACCTTGTTCATGTAAATCTTTCAAGGCAGACAACCTATCAACAACCTTAGGTAGGACATCAGCAGTGGCCTCCCATTTTTTAACCATACTGTATAGCTCAGATATCTGCAAAGGGAAATAACAAGAATGAAATCAACTGTTCCTTGAATGAAAGTGTTTCTATACAATAAAGGTTCATAGCGAAATACATTCTTTCAGAGAAGGGACATGAAAAGAAATATATTTTTGTAGTTCAGTTTTACTTTAAAATTACAAACATCTGTTCTGGAGTGGTTAAAACCTTTCACTTCAAACTACTTTCAATTCAAACTACTTTCATTTCACCACTGTTGATTAGAATCCTGCCCGGGACCTTGAATTCATTCATGTGAGAAAGCTATACAGCTAGCTTTTGGAACATTATGGTTCTACTCATGTGCTCGTCCTTATGCCTGAAATAATGCATGAAAAGGCACATGAGGTCCTACCTGGAACAAACCTTTGTGGATGTTCAGGGCTTTTTTTCACAGTTTGGGGAAGCAGCCCAGCCCTTAATTTTGGGGAAAAATTACATGGTATATTTGCAAAAGGGGAAGAAAAAACTTAATGTAAATTCAATTTTTGGGGAAAACTGCATGATTTTAAAGAAATTTTCTTTGGGGAAGCAGCCCTATACCGGCCCCTGTTATAGAAGGTAAAAAGGCCCTGATGTTGTATGAAGAAACATGACCGACTTGGTAGTGCTTGAATCAACCACCCCCAACTTGAGAGGCTGACACCTAAAGCCAAAGGACCAACCTCTAACATCTTATCAAATCAGGCAGACATCAAAAGCAATGGGCCACAGTGACATTTACAAATCAGTCTACCCAAGTTTTAAAAAAAACAACTGAATTTTACTTTTTTACTCAAGTTTAAAAAAAAAACAAGGTTAAATCTAAATGCCCCCCAAAAACCCAACAACAGATGTTTATAATTTGATTACTTACTTTGTTCTGTTTCTCGCCATCTTCTTGCGTGTTTTTCTTCTCAGCAATTTTATCAAGTTTCTGTAACACACTGTGTAACCTCACCTCCACCTGTTCTACATTGGTTGGATCTAACAGAGACATCTTGGAGTTCACTACAGCCACAGCTCCCTATAATACCATAGTAACATAAAATATGCTGTATGAAATGTTGTGAAATTAATATATACATTGTATCATTTTTTATTCATACACATAGTTCTGATTGGTTCATCAAATTAGCTCACTTTGCAGAACTGTTCTAATTGACTCCTTTTGCAGGATTACACTGATTGGTTCATCAAATTAGCCCACTTGGTAGAACTGTTCTGATTGGCTCGGAAAATTAGCTAATATGGAAGAACTATTCTGATTGGCTCATCAAATAAGCTCACTTGGTAGAACTATTCTGACTGGCTCATCAAATTAGCTCACTTTGGTAGAAATGTTCTGATTTGCTCATCAAATTATCTCACTTGGTAGAACTGTTCTGATTGGCTAAGCAGCAAAGCAATATTATAAATCTTGCTAATATCTGATAATCTAGCAAATGACATGTCTGATAAACAAGAGGGCCATGATGGCCCTGAGGTCGTTCACCCGTATATAGGCCTCACCCCCCTCCCCCCCCTGGCAAGGCCAATTTTAACCCAAGGGCTTTTATTTGAACAAACTATGTACAAACACCCATAAGAAGATGTTTCATGCTAAACATCTAAGCTCTAGCTCATTGGGTTTTTTCAAAGAAGATTTTTTAAGTTTTAACTTTACACATATAGTTAAAAACAATGACACCCCCGGAAGCAGGGCCAGTTTTGACCAAAGGGCTTTTATTTGAATAAACTTTGTAGACACTTACTAGAAGATGTTTCTTGCTTAATATCTAAACTCTAGCTATTTGGGTTTTTTCAAAGAAGATTTTTTTAATTTTTGGTATACACATATAAGGAAAACCAATGACCCCCGGGGCCGGGCCAATTTTGACCCCAGGGCTTTTATTTGAACAAACTTGGTAGACACCCATTAGAACATGTTTCATGCTAAATATCTTAGCTCTAGCTCTTTGAGTTCTTTAAAAGAAGATATTTTAAGTTTTTACTATATGCATATAGGGAAAATCAATGACCCCCTGGGGCGGTGCCAATTTTGACCCAAGGGCTTTTCTTTGAACAAACTTGGTAGACACTCATTAGAAGATGTTTCATGCTAAATATCTTAGCTCTAGCTCTTTGGGTTCTTTAAAAGAAGATTTTTTAAGTTTTTACTATATGCATATAGGGAAAATCAATGACCCCCTGGGGCGGGGCAAATTTTGACCCCAGGGCTTTTATTTGAACAAACTTGGTAGACACTCACTAGAAGATGTTTCATGCCAAATATCTAAGCTCTAGCTCTTAGGGTTTTTTAAAAGAAGATATTTAAAGTTTTTTCTTTCGGTTGCCATGGCAACCAGAGTTCTGCATGGAATTAATTTCTTTGAACAATTTTTAAAGGTGACCACCAAAGGATCCATTCCTTTTAAGTTTGGATGAAATTGGCTTAGTGGTTTATGAGGAGATGTCATTTAAAGTAAAAGTTTACGGACGCCGGACGGACGCCGGACGAAAACCGATCACTAAAAATGTTCTCCACAATGATTTGAATAAAACCAATCTGACTTAACAATTTTTCTTCCAACATTTAACAGGGACTTTTTGCAAGTTGCACTCAAACTTTGACTATTTCAATGTAATCTTTGTCATGAACTAACTTATCATTTAATTGTGTCTAAATAACCTACCACTAGACTTTTATTATCTGTATCTGCTGTGAGTAAACCCTAAAATATCAACAAAATTAAGTTAATATAATCAGTACAAACAATCATTATCATGCCAAATAATCTTAGTTATTTATCCAAGGTTGATTTTATTAACATATTCTTAAAACTTAAATAAATCACTTTTGACCCCCATTCCTTGAACTAATCAGTATTAGTCATATAAAAGAAAATATGGTCACAACAAGAGTGTGGGTTAAGCTTACAATCCCTGCCTTAAGAGGTAGACCATGAAACCACTCCTATTATGCCATTTTATTTATTTCATTTAACACCCAGACTTAAAATGTTGGGCCTTAAAGAAATTATGTCTACAGACAAATATCCCTACATTGATTAAAACTTGATTCAAATACAACTGTCATTTAATTATGGTACAACCAATTTATGACTTACCAGCTTATCAGAACTAGTGTTTCCCATTGCAGCCTCTAATCTTTCTAAACGCTCTTCCAAACTTGCTAGCTAAAATACAAAAAATAATCCTTAATATTCATCATCTACAATTATATTTATTACCATTACATTTACAAAACACTAAAGTCTTAAAACATTTCTAAGAAACTGAAAGAGCATCTTAACAGGAGGTTTCTTTGTTTGATATGGCACCGAAACAGGAGAGATGATTTTGGCTAACCTTGGGTATTACCAAAATTTAAGCAACACCAGGGATCCAAACCACCACACCTGCCGGACCTAAGAGATAGACTCCAATAATTCAAACCCATTTAGTCACCTCTTACGATCACATAGGGTTTAAACCTGTTAACAGTGGGTGCAATTCTGATGCCTCAACCCATAAAGGCAATCCCTCAGCCACAAGGGGATGAACGGGTTATCTGTTTTCTACAAGGGGGTGGGGATGAGGATTTTCTACATATATGGTACAACTTTAGACAAATTTTTGCTTTTTTTATTTTTTCTTGTAAATATTTTCACAAAGAAAAGATCTGGTATAAGTATTTTACACTTAAAATCTTATCTTTATCTTTACTCTATACTTGAAAAATATATTCAAATATTTTTGAAACTCAAATACTTTGGAATAAATTTTTAAATCTGCAGTTACATATTATAATCTTCTGTTAGTATTTGAACCTTAGGATACATTACATGAGACAAACTGCTTTAAAAACTAAATGACATATAACATTTTTCAAAAAAAGTCTTATTCTACCTTTGCATTTCTACTGAACTGTGCCTGTTCAGGGCGGTAGAAAAGTTCATAGGTCACATGATCTTCACCGGCTCCACTCTCCTTACCAGCTTTAGAGGCTGGTTTCTGGCTAGGTTTAAATGATTCTAGTTGTGTTAACAGTCTCCTAAAATATTTATATACTACATGTATCACACATTCATATTATCAGATATTTTGGTAATTTAGATGTAGACATTTAACATTTATACTTTGGTTTATACAAATTTATTTTAGTTTGATTGTGTAGGAAGCAATGAACTACACACTCTCGAATGGGTTCCTGGAACAAACCAGAACTAAGCAATGAGTGTAGTTTCTTACTTAAGGGAACAAATATAGCAATTCTTAGATCACCAGTCCACTTCGTTAACTACTGGGCCATGCCCTAACATATACCTTTACAATTCGAAAGTAATTTTTTCCTCTTGTTGGTTGCATTTTATATCAAACCTACAGTGTTCAGGTCAAATGACAACATTCCAGCTTTACTGGCGGAGGACGACATCAGGTGTTCCTCCATCAATAATTTCAGTCACTAGCAGGTACCCCAAGTAGAACCACTGACAGACTGTAAGCTAGCTGGATAGATTCCTCACATGAGAGAATCCAAAAATACTGCAGAAATTCAAACCTAAGCAGTAAGGGGCAAGTGGTTCAATGTCAGCAACTGTAACCACTAGGCCATAAAGGCCTCACATCATAAAATGGTAACATTATAGCTCTGCAGATAAAATGTACTTCCTGCAAAATATCAAATCTCAATACAATGTACAGGATATCAAAAGTTATATATTTATGACCTACTTTTGCAGCGCCCCCTGGGGATCAGAGAGATCAACAGAGGCTTCTGGTCCGAGGACTTTCTCCAGATGAAGGTCTGTTAACTGATGTTGTAAATATTCTAATTGTTTCCCCATAGATACTGGGGATAATTTTTCCTCTGTCGCTTCGGACTTGATATTGTCCTAAACAAAAAAAGATAAAATGAGCCGCGTCATGACAAAACCAACATAATGGGTTTGCGACATGGATCCAGACCAGCCTGCGCATCCGCGCAGTCTGATCAGGATCCATGCTGTTCGCTTACAAACTCTATTACAAGTAGATAATTATTCTAATTGTGGACAATAACTCAACTCGGGCTAAAAACAGCATAGCATAAAGATATGATTTTAAATATTTCTAGGTACATTTCTTACATATCTTTTGCATATCATTAGTTTTAAGTGTCCTAGCTGTTCTATGTAAGATATTCAAAATTTTATATTCTAGGCTTTTGAACCTTAGTTGAGTTCCTTTAAATTTATACATGAAATAGGAGAAAACATTTACCTCTCACACAGTTTTTAATTTAATAAATAATAAACACATGTTGAGGTAGTCTTACTGTAATGCTTTCCCGCCAAACATTTCTAATATCGGCCAATAGAGTGATAAATCAATCAATTCAGAAATGTTATTTTCACAAGCTTAGGTATTCAATAATTTTTAACTGTTTATGAAAGGACTTAAATACATAGCGATAAAGGATAAGTGATTGTAAGTAATCTAATGCCCAAGATTTTGAATAAATAACATTCCAGAAATAACCGATTTACTACGATATTGGTCGATGTAAGATTTTTTTAGGGCAGGAAAGCATTACAGTAACATTACCTTACAACAAAAATTGGGTACCTTTATCTTGCTGACTTCCTCACTAAGTTCACGTATCTCATGTTGAAGCCTCATGTATTTCTGCTGTGGAGATTCTACTTTACCCGTACCTTCCCCTAGCTGTAATATAAAATAAATTGCAGTATGATTCTACATTCTTCAAAGCTATATGTATATACCAATCCACATTCATATTGTATTATTCATATCCGAAGATTTTAAGAGAAGTAAAACAATTCAAGATTCAAGTAATAATTTACATGTTTTCAGCAATTAATGACTTATTTTGTAGTATTTATCACGATATATCTACTGCGTTACTAAAGCAGTAAGGGATATTTTTGCATATTTTGACCTGTTTTTGGCAATTTACTTGGGTTGTAAGTGCTGTTTGGAATGTGTAAATTACTTTCTTTGTTCACTTCAAAATATTTAACTTTTAAAATTTAATACATTTTCAAAAATTTTATGAAAACTAACATGAATCAGTAGACTTGCTTCTGATAGAAAGATAGATATTTTTTTTATTGGTATATTTAGATTCTGAAATAAGTATTTACAAACTTCAGTTAGTCATATATGAATTAGAAATGAAACATTTATCTACCAGTTCATATTCCACTTGGGCCTCATAACCAGTTCTCCGTGACTCACTAATCTTGTCAGAGAAATCTGAAAGTAGTTATTAAAGTAAAGGCATATATATCTTTATCAACATATCAACAACAGCCGTCGAAAAATGTCTTCAGAGTCACTCGTCCTGCAGGAAGAGCAGCTTCTTAATCCAATGTGCAGGCAGTATTCTACTCATCCTGCATAGAGTTCTCTTAAATTCTACTCGTAATTATGAGGGGACAAGTGGAATATTTGATCTCTGAATGGACAAAAAAAATATGTTTTGGTGTTTCCTTTTTCCAAATGAAAGGAAAATCTGAATATTAGCAAACATATTTCTTCCCTCACAATTTCTGTCAGCAACACACTTCCTCTTTCACAATTCAAAGGGAGACAACATGAAAATTTCAATCTCGTCTTTCAGAAATTAGGAAAGCCTTTCCCTCTTCAAAAATTGGGGGAAAAAAACACCATGATATTAAGCACTGAAGTTCTAAATTAAAAGCAGAACAAATCTTTTTTCTAAAATTCAATAAGGATACAGCTAAAATTATCAGTAATACTCTCTCCTTTTATATATTGGGTACATACAAACTTCTACAGCTAAAATTCCATGACTTTTCTATGCTATTTTTCATCTTTCAATGATACAAAATGTTCAAACGATCATTAATAACCAATACTGCAAAACCAATTTCACCCGATTTTTATCACTTTATTCATATAACATACATGTATATAAAAAAAATCTTTACTGGGTGATATCAAAAGCAGTTTTCAGTTTTTCTTCAACTTGTACAATCCTACATTTTTTCCTTTTGCAGTCCTAACAGTTTGCCTGTGTCACAAATGTGTACATGTACAAATTATGTCACTTGACAAGCTTACCAATATTCTTTCCCTCCACTCCCTTGCCTTTAAACTGTTTATACGCTGTCTCAGTATCCAGTTGTATTTTATCTATGGCATCATTGGGAACTTCCTCCTGTTAAAACATTTAAATCAATAAGTATTATTACAACATCTCTGTTGGTAGTTTTCACTAAGGATCAAGGCAGTTAGCCACATTGAATTTACCAAAGCACAGGTCAGCCCCCACATCATTCCTGGTCAGGCTGTCGAGCAGTTTACTAATACTACATACCTTCAATTTCACAAGGAACGGATGCATGTTGAAGTTTATTTAGAAATTAATTTTAATCACATTGCTTTTCCAGTGTCACTGTCTGTCACTCTACATTCTACAAACAGCATCAACCATGGCCATTAGAAATTCATTAAAACTTGACAATCAAGCGCATGATATATATAAATTTTACCTGACCTTGATAAATCAAAATTTCAAGAAATTTATCACAATTTTACACACAAATACATTTCCTTCATATTTTTTTCAAACAGCTTATTTTAAAGGGTCTCAACTGAGGTATTATGACATCACTGGACTGGAAATATTTGTTCGAGATTAATGTTCCATTTGATGTAGGACTAGCCCAATAACTTATGCACAAAATTTCAGATCATTCAATCACTCCCTTTTCTCAGAATATTCATTTCAATTGTGGAAATTGACCAAACAATGAAAAGCTCAAAATCAGAAAAATAATAGCACAGAAGTATGATTTTCAATTAACTTCTGAATACATTTCATGATTTAATTATCTTTTGCAAATATATTTCTGCCTTAACAACTCCCAGCTGATCTATGTAAGAAAATTAAATTTTATATATTTTTTTACTTTTGAACCTCGGTGGAGTTCCTTTAAAACATTCAAGAAATACCTGACTGGGAGCAATACTCTGTTCCGACTCTGGCAGGTCACTGGTCTCATACACATCTGGGGAATTCAAGTCCTGAAGATAAATAAAATCACATGAAATCATTAATTGCGCCAAATGTGAAATTTAAATGATGAATAAACTTTAAAGATTCAACTCAGCCCTGTAACAACTTGGAACTGGTCAACTTTTATAGAAAAACATGTTATGTTTAAGAGTTGTACATTTGTAAATAAGTTTCATTTTAAATGTTAAATTCAAACATGGCCCCAGCTTTGCCATGTGCAAAATGCGCTGCGCTTTGAAGATGGGAACCAGTCGGCTATGGGCGGAGCCATTCGGTAATATGTTGGTTCCCATACTTCAAAGCAGTGCATATTTGTACACGACAAAGCTGGGACCACGTTTGAATTTATGGAAAGATTTTGTAAATGGAGTAAAACGGCGATAATCTTGATGTTTATTTTGGCTGTTGCTTTGTTTATATTACCGTTGAAGTTTAAAATTGACCATCATCGTAAAGAATTATATCTTCTGTGTCAATAGACCAAAGGATTATGTGAAAATATTGGAAATGAAAGAAAATACATGACGATGTTGACGGTAGGTGTGCGGATTTCTTCCAGCGAACATTTTTATCTTGTGTATTATTATAGGGCAGCACGAAATACCCAAATATACCCAAATACACCCAAATATTACCCAAATATTGCCAAAATATACCCAAATATTGCCCAATTATACTAAAAATAAAGGTTTTATACTAAAAAAGTGCTGTTTTAATCATGAATACAATATACACTTTCACTAAGATACAATCAAACATACCCAAATATACATTTTCCTATCACTGTGTTTTGAACCAAAATACAGTATAATTATGTACTCCATAAAAGCTATTTTTTTAAATAACATTGGACACTTGTATATGATATGAAATTTCAACAAAATTACCCCTTAAAATCTAAGTGTAGACAACAAATATCATATCTTGATTTAAAAATTGAAAGTACATTCATAAAGAACCTTATCCTATATAATACATAAGCAAATGTCACAACTTTATTTTCTTACAACATCTTAACTGCCCATTTCAACGGAATGAATGAAAGCTTTAGCAGGCTAAGTCATTGTATTTTTATAAATATTTATTTATTTCTCATTATAATATATATTTTATACAAACAAAAATAAATAATACTATATTTGGGTATATTTGGGTGTATTTGGGTATATTTGGGTATTTCGTGCCGCCGTTATTATAGACGTTGAAATACGATTTTTTTTCAAAACGGCATACATTTAGTTTTTTTGATATATATGATCAGTACATGTGGTGGGACTGGGATTGACAAATATACATTTAATTTGGATTTTAAAGGTGTTTTAAGATCCACACCCAAAGTGTCTGTGGTCTCTGCCACTTACAAAGTAAAAGGAGGGGAGCTGGCTGTTGATTTACGTTTATTATGGAAAACATTAAACTGATCGCAAAATATTTATGCAACATTTATCAATTATGAGGGTCCGTAGTGAAAACGCTTATTATTTTTTAAGGTTACCCCACCCACTTTCCAATAATAATATCGACATAAAGTCAATGGCTTCAGGACATTTAGAACTTAAAAAAAATTTAGGGATAAGAATATTATTCGTATCATATCAGGTGAAGCTGAAATCATGATCAAAGTCCGATGCAATCTTACAATTCCTGGCAATTTTGCATATTTTGGGTCTGCCATAATTTATGTGGTACGGTATAGTATACTGAATGAATGAGTCATTAATATCGCTATCATCTTCCTTACGCTTTGTGTTTCAATGGTTATATCTACATCTACATCTACATTATACTGCTTAACAATCAATTCTGATTATGACTAGCAGGCGCGTTGTCAGGGAACTGTTAATAAAAGAAATTATTTATATGTTTATTAAAAAGTTAAAAGAATAAAAGTACTACAAGACTATTAATTTAAAGGCTAGAACTTTTGGCTAGCCGTACGGGCCCGTGCGGCTAGCCACTTACTAATTTAAAAGACATATGTGTGCAATTTAGAATTTATAGAATGGGTCAAGCCTCTCAGTAAAGATGTTTAAACTGGGGCTAGACTGAACAGTTAGAGGAAGGCTATTCCAAAGACGTATGCTCCTAGGAAAGAAAGAATTTTGATGATATTGTGTCCTTGAGTAGGGTATCAGGTAGTTCAGATTTCTTGTTTGAGTAAGGTGTTGGTGGTCAACAAAAACAATGTTGTTTTGGATTTTATACAAGTAGGTTACAGCACTGATGTTTCGACGCTGTTCAAGGGTTTGCCAATTTAGATCATTTATCATTTTTGAGACACTACTTGTATAGTCATAATCATTAAAAATGTATCTAGCAGCTGATATTAGCTATATGTACTGTGATACTTGTACATGTACGTTAACTAATCTAACTAATACTTTAAAACATTGATCGTTACCTATGATTAGAAAGTGTGTCTTAAAGGTTATATTACATATTACACAATCGAACTAAAATACATTCAATATAAACTAACCAAATATAGCTAATTAAGTCCCTGCTTTACTTTACAATATTATTCCAGAATGATGGCATTATCATAAGTTATTTACAAATCTATTCTAGATGGATGACATTATTAGTTATTTTTTACATAAATTATTCGGAAAATGATGACATTATTATAAGTCAGTCACAATTTCATCACGGATTATTAGTAATATAAATCCGTGATTTCATGAAGGATATGGCATTAGCATTAGTTATTTACAATATTTAAAAAAAAAAAACAAAAAAAAAATACCATTATATATTAGTAGTTATTTACACAAGGCATGATAGAAGGCTACAAGGAACGATTAATATCAATTCTTTAAATTAAGAGGTCGTATTTTTTTCTTTGACAAGTTGAGTCTATGAGGGTACGTGTCAATCGTAAACCATCGGCCTTTCCCGTATGTACGTCGATAAGAGGCATTAAAATCCGATGAGATCAGATGGGTACGCGTGTGCTAGCTTATGTGCTTGGCAAATTAAATACAATTAATGTAATTCCTTTCTACTGAACCCTAAGCTCAGCAATTCTGCTTAACCCCAAATTGCATCTCATCGGCCCTTTCTGTCAAATTTTGGATAAAAATATTATGGACAATAGCTGAGGTCTGACAGCCCAAAGTGGAGCATAGTAATTAAGGTACACGAGCGGTCTTTTTGCAGCTGTGGAAGTTTGTTTCAGTTATTCAAATGGCGGGAAAGTAAGAATTTCTGATTGGTCATCTGCAACATATCGCCTATTGAGGTGTTCCGAAGGTGAACGTCGCGTGGCCATGACTTACACTATACCCCCGTTCCCACTCTACAACCCAAAACACTTAAACATCATCCAAACATCATATGTATTGACAAAAATAAATTTTATGAAAAAAAAAATTATGACTAAAAAATTATAAATGTGATTCATTAACTTCAATTTGATAATCAAGAATGGATGCCGCCAGCAATCATTTTCAAAACTGTGGGGTGATCAGATGACCTCTCCAATGAAATAAGAACAAAAGGGCCAAGATGGCCCTAGATCGCTCACCTGACCCATCGAACTCATCCGAACAATTACCTAGACAAGATTCTGACCAAGTTTCATGACAGGTGAGTCAAAAATGTGACCAATAGTGTTAACAAGGATTATCCATATTTGAGCAGTGTGACCTAGATTTTGACCCAAGGTGACATATATTCGAACTTGACATAGAAATCATCAAAACAAACTTTCAGACCAATTTCCAGGATATTTGGATTAAAACAGTAGCCATTAGAGTGTTATTAAGATTTTTCTATTTTTAGTTACTGTCACCTAGTTTTTCATCCAAGATGACCCATGTTCAAACTCATCCAAGCAATTATCGAGACAAGCATCCTGACCAAGTTTGACGATAATTGAGTCAAAAATGTGACCACTAGAGTGTTAACAAGGTTTTTCCATATTTGGGCGGTGTGACCTAGTTTCTGAACCCAGGTGACCCATATTCGTACTTGACCTAGAAATCATCGAAACAAACTTTCGGACCAATTTTCAGGATATTTGGATCACAACAGTAGCCATTAGAGTGTTAACAAGATTTTTTTCTATTTTTAGCCCATGTGACCTAGTTTTTCATCCGAGATGACCCATGTTCGAACTCATCAGAGCTATTACCTAGAAAAGCATCCTGACCAAGTTTGATGATGATTGAGTCAAAAATGTAACCACTAGAGTGTTAACAAGGTTTTTCTATTTTTAGCTCCTGTGACCTAGTTTTTCATTCGAGATGACCCATGTTCAAACTCATCCAAGCTATTACCTAGACAAGCATCCTGACTAAGTTTGATGATGATTGAGTAAAAAATGTGACCACTAGAGTGTTAACAAGGTTTTTCTATTTTTAGCTCCTGTGACCTAGTTTTTCATCCGAGATAACCCATGTTCGAACTCATCCGAGCTATTACCTAGAAAAGCATCCTGACCAAGTTTGATGATGATTGAGTCAAAAATGTAACCACTAGAGTGTTAACAAGGTTTTTCTATTTTTAGCTCCTGTGACCTAGTTTTTCATTCGAGATGACCCATGTTCAAACTCATCCAAGCTATTACCTAGACAAGCATTCTGACTAAGTTTGATGATGATGGAGTCAAAAATGTGACCGCTAGAGTGTTAACAAGGTTTTTCTATTTTTAGCTCCTGTGACCTAATTTTTCCATCTGAGATAACCCATGTTCGAACACATGCGAGCTATAACCTAGATAAGCATCCTGACAAAGTTTGATGATGATTGAGTCAAAAATGTGACCGCTAGAGTGTTAACAAGGTTTTTCTATTTTAACCTCCTGTGACCTAGTTTTTCATCCGAGATGACCCATGTTCAAACTCATCCATAACTTATCCGAGCTATTACCTAGATAAGCATCCTTACCAAGTTTGATGATGATTGAGGCAAAAATGTGACCGCTAGAGTGTTAACAAGGTTTTTCTATTTTTAGCTCCTGTGACCTAGTTTTTCATCCGAGATAACCCGTGTTCGAATTTATCCGAGCTATTACCTAGATAAGCATGCTGACAAAGTTTGATGATGATTGAGGCAAAAATGTGACCGCTAGAGTGTTAACAAACAAGTGTGGACGAACGACGGACGACAGACGACGGACATTCAACGGTCCTAAAAGCTCACCCTGAGCTAGCTCAGGTGAGCACAGGATTCTACTGTTTAAAACAGACAGGAGGCTAGCAACTTCAACCTCAGCTTTAATTATCTTTACATTTACATATTTAATAGAAAACTGCATATGTCTTTATAAATTTTCAAAATTTAAAAATTGTGTAATTTTATTTTTTAAATACAATAAAACATGACAAAGGGTAGGTTTTATTTATCTAAATTTATGATGAACAGTCATTAAAATACCATATTATCTGACAACAAAGGCGTGCCATAGTTTAAGTTATCGTAAGTTTACACAAACGTGACTCATCTATCCTGTATAATTAATCTTTCCCGCGTATTCACTTTAAAACCCATTAGTAAACTTGTTTTGCGATAAATGATAATATTTTTTAAAACCACAACTAGTCTTTTCTATAAATAACTTATGAAATTTTGGACGGTGAAGGTATTCATGAGTACGTAAACAGTTTTCTGAAGGTCATATCAATTAACTATTCATAGATTACACGTTCTACCTCGTGAGCCATGGATTTAAAGGATTTTCTTAAAATAGGAACCACCGGTCTGACTGGTTTGTTTGCAGGATGTGCCCTGTACGTGAATACAGTGAGCAGTCCAGCTGGTGAAACCTTTGATCTACAAAATTGTCGCAAAAACTGGAAAGAAAACTTCTTGAGAGCAAAAAATGTTCAGGTAAGATTTTATATAAATCTATATACTCTTATGGGATATAAAGAGTCTAGATTGGTCAAATACAAACTAGTTAAGTAAGTTTTGGTTTTTAAAAGGGTTATCATAAATCTTATTGCATTAAATTATTTTTGTGACTTTCTATTACTAAAATCAATAGCACAATGCATGGCTTACTATGGAACGCCGCTTTCATCACTACTCAACTAATTCGAAAACATTTTAGTAAAGCATCATACAGCGTGTAACTGAGCAAAATACAATTGTATTTTTTATCAAATAATCTTTGCTTTTCAACATAGGGAGCCTTAGCCTTCACTGGTTCACTGACTGGTGCCTGTGTGTATTACCTAGACGAGGATTCGGACACAAGGTTGCTATGGTTGGTTGGCTCTGGTGTATTTCTAAGTGTTTGGCCGTGGACTATGGCTGTTATGATGTCAGATATTAAAAAAAATCTTGAAGAAGATGTCATGCAAACAGCAGGTATGGTTTCCCTTTTCTAAGGTCGCAAGTTCGATCTTCTGGCATGTCAAAAAATAAAACATTTAATAATGCTTTAATTAATGTTATATATATTTGTATCACTTATTGAATGCTCAGTATGTTAAAAATAGTACTATAGGTCAGATAATGTTAAAGTAAGTTATCAATCAATAAGGTCGACAACCTTTTCAAGTGTCTGAATTTTATACATATTTGTTCACCATTAACCCTCGCACTCTGTAAATCAATATTTGTCAATGAAAATTAATACACTTAAAAGGTTTATGAATGTTTTCCAATAACCATTAAAATCTCGGACAAATCGCAAATTTGTCCGACATAGTATAGCTTTTCTAAACTTTGTTAAGAAAAGGTAATATTTGCATAGTGTTTTACTGAAACGTAATAGGATTGTTGTTACTCATACATTACAGGAGAAACTTGGGTCAAAAATCATATCAGAAGATGGAACAAGCAACATGGTGTAAGAACATTTCTTAGCTGTACCGCCTTTGGAATATTCTTATATGCTCTCTCAAGAAAATAAAAAAGAAATAGAACAGAAAAGAGAAGACGCCCGAGGACGCATGAGTTGCACAAATGTGCCTCACATATAGTTCAAACAATCAGATATAGTTCAAACAATCAGATATAGTTCAAACAAGTTCAATCTAGCATACGGATAAGTAGTTTTTGTTCTTTGGTTACCAAAGGAATAGAGAATATTGAAGTTTTTTTACAATTACGGAAATTGCGAATTTATTTTCATTGACAAGTGATATGAAATATTATAATTTCATACCAGAAAATGAAATTAAATCTCATATTTATAGAAAAACATCGACTTTTCTGTTTATTATATACCTATATTTAATGTTTTGATCCAACGGTTCTAAAGACTTTAACAATGATTTTGTGTAATGCCTGAAATTAGAAGAAAAAAGTCCGGAAATATACCAGTTGAAATACAGAAAATTATTTCACTGCAGTTAAAATATGAATTTCGAAAAAAATGCATTGACTTCATCAATATTTCTCAATATTTCATTTATATAATAATATATATATATATATATATATATATATATATATATATATATATATATATATATATATATATATATATATATATATATATATAATAAACTTTTCTTTTATCTAAGTATGTCAGTGAAAAGATTACATTTTCATAGATAGTTCTACATGACTGCACTGATATGTTTTACTTGTTAAATGCACGTGTATATTATTAATTGTTTGGAATAAGTTAAAATGTTTAAACATTTATTGTGGGCATTTCAATACATTTATAAAATACATGTGTATATAGCATGCATTTAGTATTTTCAATAAAACATATGAACTTGCTGTAGTTTAGTTATATATCATTCATAATATATGAAGATTCCTTTGTTGCTATATACTTACCTTTTGTATGTTGCAAACCATGTTTAATAGCGATTGCTTAAATAAAAAGAACCCCTCACCTCTATGGGTTCGAATCACGCCAGTGGCGAAGCTATCCAGCTAGTTAATGGAACTTCGGTAATTGATCGCTTCCATTTGAATTTATTTTAATTGGTTTTTGGACTAAAGCAATCTACCACATCTTGTATGATATATGGTGGGCTAGCCATATTGTCTTTGTCAAAGAAATGATACTTTGATCTTGATGTTGAATTTCTTTGATTAATATGATATTTGTGCATAATTCTTTAGATCCTCTCGGTTTGTCAATTAAGTTAACAGTCAATTCCGTTTCTCATGTAAGAAAACCATTTATTACATGCTTTTCGGTGGTTTATAGAAATATATCAGTGATTTAAAACTGGTAATTTCACTGTTTGAAACAGTGAAATTACCACTTTGATAATTTCACTGTTTTGAATTTAAGCCCCTTACGTTGTTTCAGTGAAATATCAGCGTGCACATTACTGGGTACCAACTTAATGACGTGACGTCGTAAATGACGTCACGTTGTATTATTATTTGGCGCGCTTTTCATTCAGTATTAGGTTTAATGTCTTTTTAAAACGTTTCTTTGCATATAATAAAAAGAAAATTTGTTTAGTTTAGTGTAAGATCGAAATATATTTCACCTTGTGAACACCAAACGTTCATATTTCACTCGTGGCTGCGCCACTCGTGAAATATACCTTTTGGTGCTCACTCGGTGATATATATTTCGATCTTACACTGAACTAAACAAATATCCTCTATTTCTGTTATAATTAAAGACCAGTTTATTCGGATTTGTCAAACTTCTGTGTATTAGTCAAGTAAATGTCTAAACTATAGAATTTTAAAAACTGAATATGGTTTTGAAAAATACTTTTGAAACATTTTACCATAGCGTTTTTGAAATTTAGATGTATGAACCATAAAATGCCATTTGAAACGGGTAGCTTTTTTGTATTTTGGATAGAAGTCTAAGAGTTTTGATCTATTTTAATAATCAGTTTGTTAATTATTTTTTAATTGTTCCTTTTTGTCACGACCTGAGAAAGACATATTTGGACAATTCTCATTTCCATAAGCCTATCATTCTTAAATGTTTTAAGTTAATGAATACCGAAGGCAAAAATGTTTTCCTCAATCTGGCACTCTTCTGTAAAATTATTTTTGTTCTAAATAATACATTATGATCTTATTTTCTTTTTCTTATATACATATGTTCAAAGCATTGAGCACTATGGTTTCACTTTATGTCACTTTACTTTGTTTTGCGACGTTTTGTAATATTGTTGTTTTCGCAAAATGCCCAGTTGACTCCTGAGGTATCAGTAAAACCTTGAGATTTGGTTCTACTCAGGTATCCACTCATGCCTGATCATGAAATAATACACGGAGCGGCATCTGCAGGTCTTCCTCCACCAATAAAGCTGGAAAGTAGCGATATGACCTTAATATTGTTCATGTTGTTGATGTGACTTAAAATGCAACCCGAAGACTTCTACTGTACGTGTTGGTGCGATGTAACCCAAAACAAAAGATTAAGTCTGTCTTTTTCAAGTTTGTATCGACAAGTCAATGCTCATAAGTGCTTATATAGTAATAGTTATAGTACATGAAACGAGTTAGTTACGAGGATATAACACTGGCTGTGGCGACATCAAGGGATGTTTCTGCTAAAAAATGCTTACAAGGCGAGACAATTTTTTGCAGAAACATCCCGAGATGTCGCCCAGCCAATGTTATATCCTCGTCATATACTATAACTGTTTTATCGCAATGACATAATGTTTCCTTTTTTGTAATAGAAATAAATAAATAAATAAATAAATATAAATAAATAAATAAATCGTTAGCTACATTACAGTTATTTATGATATGGCAATTGTTTCAAGTTGTTTTCGCTGCCGCAAAAAAAATATACAAAAGACATACAATGTTAGAGGCGGATTGTAACTGTTACCAATATTGATTCAAGATTAAAGGGCTTTTTTCAGTGGAAATAATTCATTCAGCGGATGTACCTTTTGATTAAATGAGAGTAAATTTCATTTCATTAATTATCTTTGTTTATATTTTTCATTGTATTTATTTATTTATTTTATTTTATTTTATTGATTCCATTTTTTTTTGCTACTGTGAATGTTCGTTACCACTGCCCCACTCTGTGAAAAAAACTACATTGATATATACAAGGTGCGAAAAAAAACCTCAACCGCTATAAAGCAGTCGACTGTAATACAGGTAGTGAAGTGTACTGAGTATTATTAATGGGTTAGTAAGAACAAAGGAAAAGTTCCAAACCATGCGATAATGATTAATAACATATAACAGTAACATACATTGAAAGTGTGGTTATTTTAGTATTGTACACACTTACCTGTCGAGAAAATAAACGAAAATGTGTATTCGCGTTTAAAATTAAGAAATAACATCGGCCTGAGAGGTGTATATCGGCTATTTAACACCGGTTTGGAGTTTTGATGCATAGGAATTGACCACGAAGGCCGTAGGCCATGTGGAACGGCACGTGCATGCGCGCGCGAGGCATGGTAGTTGTCGTAGTTGGTACTAATGTGTTCTTTGTAGATGGTCTTTTATGAAAAACATTAAATATTCCAAGAATAAGCTATACAGAACGCCCTTAAACCGGAATCGGAATTATTTTTTCCATGACTTAATTGATTAGTTAAACATCGTTGTTCTAGTTGTTTAATAGATGTTTTAGCTATTGCCATGTTTACAAAATAATAACGTGATTTATGCGAATAAGCTTGTTAATAACGATACGAGTGGCAGCCATACGACACCTTTGTAATATCGGACTCGGGTCCGTTTTTAAACGTATTTAAGTGCATTTTTAGCTGAAAAATTGCAGGTATACATACATTGTGTATTGTATATAAGGTATATGTTTCTTATCATTATTGTAATTATGCGATATCCCATTCCACAATAGCATTTTCAAAAATAAGTTAAAAATACACAAAACGTTTACCAATTAGGGTAAGGCTAATTGAAACAAAATCAAATATGAGGTAGTTTCATTTTGCAGTGTTTATTCTGGGACATAAGATAATTATCTTATCTTATGTCCCAGGTTTATTTTAAGAGTAACCATGTTAACCCGCTCTGTTCGACAGCTAGTACTGCTATTCCCGTTAATAAATTGCAACAAAGTTTTGTTTTACATATAAGCAATATATGAAATAAGCTGCACCTTTGGTTACTTATATTGGTTAAAAATTCTATAAAGAAAATTCATCCATCCATATAGACGACAACGATACTAGGAACGAACCTCTTGCTAATGTATTACCCACTGTCTTCCGTTATTCGGCGAAGGACAGCCAATTTGTATCCAAACTCCTCACAGCGGTTACGTCACGCTTTGCTACTTTAACCACTGCCACCACTGAAATCACGTGATGATAGTTGTATCATGTGACAAAAACATGGCGGCCAGTTTCAGAATGCCAAGGATCCCATATCAAACTGGCAGATTTATAATTACATTCTTACCAGACAAAATAAGTTCAAGACACACAATTTGTTATCACTTTAAAACAAGTGCCGGATCAAATCTTTTTGCGCAATCGTTCAATAACTGTTTATATTCTGCCATTGTTTACTGGTTGTTACTATGCATACGGTGTCACAGTGAAAATATTTTCGTTATGTTTACAAAATAATTTTTAAACGTATAATTTTTTACTTTCTTGTACATTAAGCATAACTATTTAACGAAAGAAAACTAAAATGATATTAAGTATTCTATTTTAAAATTAAAAGTGAAAAAAATATATCCGGCTATATTCGACCGAATTTACTTGTGGTGGCAGTGGTTACTGTACAGATCAGGGGAAGTAACCGCTGCGAGGAGTTTGATTTGTATCAAGTTGAAGAAATGTCAATTTTCAGATAGAATAGTGTCCTTAATCAAAATCAACATCATGGCACTTGGTCAAGCAAGGCTTTGTTCTCTTCTAGGAAGAAGTTGGGTATTATGCACACGTCCATCAACCCTTGTCGCCCCTGGAGTAGTTGAAGGACACAAGCAATTGACCACTCAACCAAATTACAAAAAGCCTTTCCCATACCGAAGGAAGAAATTTTCATTTATGAGAAGTCTGATTGAATATACATCTGCAAGAATGAATGAAAATAGCAGAATTATACTGGTTGAGGGTTTGCCGTGTGTAGGTAAATCGGAATTTGCTAAGAAATTGGCTGATAATTTTAAGTTGAAGTATATACCACCCTTCACTGATGACGATGTCTTTGTTATCTGTGGTTTAGATAAAAGAGAGACTGATGGGTTGATGCCTACAGAAAGATTGAAGTGTTATGATATGGATTCTTTCTATGCAGGGCTAGATCCTCAAAAAAAGTTGTTTTACGGAAACACACAGATTAACTATTTCAAACAACGTTGGGAGCAGTACCTTCTTGCATTGAGGCACATTATGAATACAGGTATGTTTACTAGGGGTGTAACAATACAGCAAAAAATGTATTGCAATATATTGCCATTTTGTTAAAGCGTATTGCAATATATTGTAATACGTATTGTTGGGTATATGTTTTGATGTAAAGATGGAGTAACATTATATATAAATACATTTGTATATTATTATTATTATATGTATATATTCTTAGTAGAAACTTAATAAAAATATAAGGACTAAATAGAAAGTAAACTGTCACACAATTGGATAAACAAAACAAGTTGCACGTGACCTTTCACATCTGGGCCGCTTATGTAATTTACACGGCTGCTTATTGACATTTATGTGTACTAGTTGTCAGATATTTTTATCCTTTGTTGGCACAGATAAAATTCGCCTTTTAAAGATTTTATGGGAAATTTGTACGAAATAAGAAGCAATTTATTGAAAATTGTGATTTTTATAAAATACCGGTTTTCCAAATATCGTACTGTGGTACAATTTTTTTTTTTTTCATATTGCAATATATCGGTATACCAGTAAACCATTACACCCTTAATGTTTACTCAAAGAAAAGAACAGTTCATAAGATATGAGTTTATTCAAATATATATTAATTTTGGGCTCTTGAGAAAATATTTTAAAAGGTGTAAATTCACACATAATTGCAGGGCAAGCAAAATCTAAAATAAAACATTTTATTTACATTTTAATTAATGTATGACAAATAATTTCACATTTTGAGCTACTTGCATCAATTGATTAGCATCTAGAAACCTTTAAATTACTTAAACATTATAAAGCAAATGTTTGCCCTTTCTAAAGAATGAAAAAGAAAATTTGTTTTTGAGGCATAATGTGCCTTTAAAGTTTCTTGTAGTTATATTTTTATTTACTAGCAGTATCCTAAAGTTTTCGTTTACAGTATACTGGTGCCTCGTATTTTCATGGTACCCATAATGCCAAGGTAATACTTAGGCATTATCAGTTTCAAATGTCTCCTAGACTTCATGCACTTGCCAGAAGTTTTTATATTGTATTTTTTTCGTGATGTTACAAATATGACTGAGAAAACTTATTATTTTATTCAGATTAAGAGCAAAGAAAATTATTTCACCATTTTACTTTTAGTTTTCATACCTTTTAAGACAACTGTCTTTGTTAAACAACCATTGAGATATTGTATAAATGCCATAGAGAAAATCCGCACTTTCAGACGGGGCTAGGTATAGATGTACTAAAAAAATAAAGATTACTGTTGGTTTTGCTTTTGAAACAGTAAAAATGTAATTGCCTTTGAAATATGAGAACACAACTTCAGACTTCCCGAAAGTTGAAAAAAACTGTCAGACATTCGGTCTGACAAACCATGAAAATCTGTCGGACCGAAACGAAATCTGTCGGACTAAATAAAATTGATCAAAATCAAAGAATGACTTGTGTTTGTATTTCTAAGACACTTTTTGTTTTTATTTTTTTTCGCAGTAAAAATCGGCACATTCCTTACAGCGCATTTTCATCTCCTCCCTATCATACATAAACGATTCACTATCTTGCTTCTATTATTCATTAAATTTTGTCTCAGGTCTATTCTTTTTATCCTTTTACTGCTGTTTTGCCTGTTCCTCTGACGTAGATTTTTTATTTTTCCGAGGTTTGGCACCTTTAGCGACGCCATTTTGTATACACATGGGATTTAGCTCAATACAGAATTGGAGCAGTATCTCTAGACGCTTGCAGAAATCATGATCACAAAATAGACAAATATCGTTTTTTTCGCCAAATTTTACATTTTTCCTTGATTATCGTACTTGATTCGGTGTGAAAAGATGAATTAGACCTGTTAAAGTTCATTCCGTTGGGTAAAAAGACAATATTTTAGCATTTTATCATTCAAGCGCCTTGTCCGGTATATACCGGAAACCGGTATTTAGTGTGGTGCTCCAATCCTTTTTTTAGTCACAGCCGTATACATGCGGCTTGGATAAAAGCCGGACAGTCGGACCGATCCGGAATAAAAACTCGTCGGACCTGATCAAAATTTATCGGACATGTCCGTCGGACCGACGTATTTCGGGAAGTCTGAACTTACACTCACTTTGCAGCAGATGGTGTTAATTGTCATATTGTGTACATAATTGTTTACATGCAAACATTTAATGGATTAAACTATGATGTAATTGACATGTCTTTCTTACAATATTCAACGTATTTTCCAGAATTTCATTCTTCTAACTTTTGTTGTCTGTGTTAAACAGTTAAGTACCATGGAAATATGAGGCACCCGTATACTCTATATCCTGGCAGTATCTTTTGTTATGTCCTTGTATTATTCATTTGTCAAACACATTTCAGGCCAGGGTGTTGTATTAGAGAACAGTGTATACAGTGATATGGTTTATGCATTGAATATGGCTGACCATGGATATTTTACGAAAAAAGGTTCGTTTAAAGTCTTCTTTATTTCAGACTTAGTAAAAGTTAGTGTAAAGTACTCGTAGTCTTGCATTTGCAGCATATTCAAATGTTTTGTATTTAAACGATGAAGAAAACAATATGACATGATGTTTCTTGTGGTACATCACAGTTTCTTTTTATCACATAAACTACGGCACATGAGTGTAATATAGCTATTTATAAGAACAAAATTACGCAAGTGAAATAACACTTTGATGTGACGTCATTTGCATATAATAGACAAACATAGTGTTATAGCGTGCTTATGTCAGCATTACACTATAGGTACGTCAATTAAAGATGGCTCTTTTAAACTGTAAACCATTGCTAATTAGAATATGTGGTAAATAGAATATTATACTTGTTTAGATTTGGTAACAAAATTTATTGAACTCCTTGAAAAAAACAATACTTAGCCTGTCAGAGGCTGTATATTGATATGATTTTATTCAACTTGTTCAATAAATTTAGTATTAAACCTACACTCATTTAGTTACCTCCATGTATATTTATTACACATGTATGTTATATAACATTGTCATGACATATTTTTGCTTATAAATTTCATGATAAAAACTATGTACAAAAGTTCATACAGAACATCAAAAAAGTTTTTCAATAATTTCGGTGCTTTAGTCAGACAGTGGTCTGGATAGAACAGAATCTCACTTTCATTTCATATGATGTATTACATATATTTTTAGACAACCTGTTTTGAATTTTAGGCATTCATTTTTATATGCCCGTTTCACACATTTATTATTTTATTAAATTATCAAAAGAATACAGATCTATAGGCCTTTTTTCCATGTTAAATATTATCAATTTGACTGATACAGTTATCAGCTTTACTTTATTGTAATATGAAAATGATTCATGTTGTCAAATGACACAAGAAAAAAACTGATTTGACTCCTGAAAATTTAGCCCAAACTGAAAGTCTGAACCTACTGAGAGCTCTAACCATTATGAGAAGTAGTGTTGCACACATGAAGCAGATCTCATCATGACTAGAATTAATTGAATGTATATGAGCTGCGTCACAACAAAACCAATATAATGGGTTTGCGACCAGCATGGATCCAGACCAGCCTGCGCATCCGCGCAGTCTGATCAGGATCCATGCTGTTCTCTATCAGTTTCTCTACTTGTTATACAGTTTGTAAGCGAACAGCATGGATCATGATCAGACTGCGCGGATGCGCAGGCTGGTCTGGATCCATGCTGGTCGCAAACACATTATGCTTGTTTTGTCGTGACGTGGCTCATATGTTTGTGTTATTCAGGTCTACGTTGGTACATGGAGCATAGGGAGAATAGTTTGTATTTGTTTTGGAAACCACATCTGATTATACACCTTGATGCCCCGTCATCGTACATTGAGAAGAAAATGAAGGAAAAATATGTAAGATTATTTGTTCTGAGAAAGATCAAGAAACAGTATTGATATGTCTGACTGGAAAACAAAGTTAATTGTGTCTATTTATGAACATTGTCTTGATTGAAACAATACATGTATGTGAATAGTTAATTATGATTTTAAGCAAAGTCTTTGCTTAGAATTTCAGATAAGGCATATTGTATAGAAATGGAATGATCGTCTTGTGAAGAAATGGTTTGCTGTGTTGGGCATCAGTGGCTGAATGGTTAAGGTCATTGACTTTAAACCACTGGTCCCTCACTGCTGTGGGTTTGAATCCTACAAATTGAAATGGTTCTACTCAGATGCCCGTTCCCTTCAAAAATAAATCACAGAGGGGGGAGGTCTTCTTCCACCAGTAAAGCTGGAAAATTGCCATATGACCTAAACTGTGTTGGTGCCACGTAAAACCCAAACAAAATAAAAAATGATCTCTGTGTATACATGTAGGTTGACCAAGACTATTAAATGCATGTTAATACAAACCACTTGCCCCTCAACATTTTGAATTCAAGTCCTGACTGAAATATTTTAGATTTTTTATGTGAGGCTGCTGTCTAGCTAGGGAATGTTTCTATAGAGGTGTCTAAGTGACTTAAGTACTACTTAAGTTACAGCTGAGTACCACCTAAGAACTTATTGAATACTTAGTGCACAGAGGGGCATCTGAGGCCTGCAGCATCAGTAAAGTTTAAAAGCTACATGTATTTGACCTTTTCAGTGGAAGTGTGACATAATGCCTAAACAAAACAAATATTTATATAAAAAGTGTACATTTTTAAGCAAAAGAAAATAAAGGGAAATAAATATTGGATGTTTGTCGGTATAATTCAAAGGGTATATGTATGAAGCTATATTGCTACATAATACATATATTCAGAACGCATCAAAATGATCAATTGCTGTTTTTTCTCTTCTTTTTCCATGGTACGAACAAACATGTTATAAAAATATGTAACATTAATAGTTACAACTTGGTTATTGTATAGATAATAAAGCAATGCTTTGATCAGATTGTGAAGGCTAGTGCACCTTGACGCTATAATCATAATGTGAATTTTTATCCTTGGATTAGATGGGAGAAGCCAACATTTGCTGTGTTCTGGAAACACCTATTGAGACTGGTCCTAGTTATTTAAATACAAGTCAACCAGTTATTGCACTAAGGTGACAATCTTTTCATTTGTGTATTGAACAACTGATATTTAACCAATTGGATCACATCTATACTCTCATTTTCTCATCTTAACATTTCAGCCCAAGTTGCAAAATAGCCCAGTATTGAATGAGGCATATTTGGATGGCTGGAGGAAAAAGTATAATGAAGTCTACCTACCTGAAATGAGGTGAATTCTTAAAGGCCCGTGAAGCCTTAAAATAATGTTATTTTTTATTACTTAAAACCTATTTATCACATACACTTGTGCTGCTTTTGCGACTCTGTAAAAGTGGTGTTACAACTTACACAGCCCTGCATATATTTTGATGTGGCTTCATTTGTATTACACAAAGATAGCTTAAAGGGCATTAAATGTTAGCGTAATTCTATAGGCGTATCAATGGAAAATCGGTTCTTTTTTACTTCAAACGTTCTATATTTGGTGTGTGATAAATAGAATATCAAATTCTTGTAAGTTCATTACTGAATTTATTGAACTCGTTTAATAAAATAATATTAAGCTCACCAGAGGCGTGCATAATATAATTTTTTTCAACTCATTCAATAAATTCAGTATTACACTTACACTCATTCAATATTCTCTATTTATTTTTGGTGTTTTCAAAAGGTTGTTTATTTTCTATATAGCTGGAACCACATTTTGATTCTTTTGAATTTTTACATTCATTTAGTGCTGTGATAATTATTTAGTATGTTTTTTATATTGAAGACAAAGTACCACTTTGTTGATATTTTGCTAATTTTATGACAATTTATGTCACATCCAGCCCTACTTTCTTCAGGTGAAAATCATCTTAGAGAATGTCAATGACATGTCCCTGACAGAATTTGAACCTCTGAGGGTAGCGATCATTAGATTACTACTATACTAGTCCGATGCTTTAACCACTTGGCTCTGCCACCACTTTTGCAATTTAAACCTATACAATACAGGAACAGACAGTGATTACCGTTTGCCAAATTTAATAAAGCCATGCAGTCTGACAAAAATGACCCAACATAAGTACATTTCGCATAGAGCCTGGTCAGACTGCAGTATGGTAGTGATGTTGGTAGTTTTCACTCCAGACCATGGCAGTTAGCCACATTGAATTTCCCGGAGCACAGTTCAGCCACTGCATTGTTCCTTGGCAGGCTGTCAAGCAGTTTACCAGTACTAGTTGCCTTCACTTTAGCAAGGAAATAATAACTTCTGTACATGCAAGAGCAGAGGTACAGTGGGAATGACCGTAGAGAGTTTCGTGATCAATCACAACGAAAGTGACCAGCGCTGTCCGGGTGGTGCCCGGTTCAAACCCCAACGCTCTACTTATTGAGGTAACCGCATGGCAGTATTGCAGCCTGGCTAACTCTATTCTGTGGGTAGCTCAATTTTTCATATTTTGATAGAGAAATTCTATAAACATTGAATGGACTTTTCAGAATTCAAAGTTAGGCAAACCCATTACTAAATATCATTAGATCAGTCAGATTTTGAAATTTATCATTTATTATTGCAGACAACATTGTGACACCCTGTACTATGACATCAGAGAAATGGAGGATCTCGACCTGGTAATAAAAATCTTTCTTTGTAAAAAAAATTATAATTGAGCCACGCCATAACAAAACCAACATAATGGGTTTGCGACCAGCAAGGATCCAGACCAGCCTGCGCATCCGCGCAGTCTGATCAGGATCCATACTGTTCGCTATCAGTTCTCTACTTGTTATAGGGTTTGTAAGCGAACAGCATGGATCCTGATCAGACTGCGCGGATGCGCAGGCTGTTCTGGATCCGTGCTGGTCACAGACCCTTAAGTTGGTTTTGTCATGGCGCGGCTCATATGCCAATTTGAGGTATCACAGAATAGTTAGAATATATTTTGCTGTGTATATTGTAAATGCACAGTGCAGTGTTTCATAGAAAGTCCTTAAGTCCTAGGACATAAAGTCAACTTTAGGACTAACTTAAGACCGTTTCAATCAACATTTTTATCTTCAGTCAAATACTGTATATTAAAAATCATTTCATTCTCCTGAGAAAGTTAAGAAATAGAATGACAGACCTGCTTATTCCCAATTTGTATATGCCCATCAGCATGTTATTTATAAAGTAAAAGAGTCATAGCATTTGAGTCATAGGTTTGGACAACATTTTCTTTGAAACACAAAATTGACCCAGTTTTGGGCTTAAGACTGATTTCAGACATAGGACTTTCTATGAAATTAGGGGTGTGGGGGGCATGCAAAATCTTGACAATAAAACTTGTAGTTAAAAAGTTAGAAAGGTTGCTGCTCCAAGTAACTGATCTTAGGCAGTTGACGGCCTCTTTTGATTTGAGGACTTAAGGGTCAAGGTCACACTGAGGTGGTGTACCAAAAACTGTTTCCTAGCAACATTGCATACAACATCCCACATGCTGACGAGGGGGTCATGCATGATTTACAAACATCTTTTGTTTTTGCCTGTAATGCTTGGATGGTAACGGGAGATCTTCCTCCACCAGTAAGGCTAAAAAAGTTCCCTTATCATTATGACCTTTTTACTACCATTGTGTTACAGAAACCAAATTTATGAAAATATAAATGATTAGTAAGGCTGTGCTACTGTTCAAATAGAACTGTCTAAATATATGAAGTTGTGATAAAAAAAAAATAAGATATTGTATTGTTAAATGTAAGTTAAGAACAATGAATGCTATTTACAAAAGACATTCATTTTATTTCTGCAGTTGTTTATGGATCTGGAAGGCATGGATTTGATATCGGCCAGGTTTGGTGAATCAACAAAATTTGCCGACTGGCATAAGCAGAAGGAAGAACAGTGGAGCATGTATAGATTAACGTAAGTATTACGAAAGTTAAACCATGGCTTGCTGCAGGGATGCCAATTTCGTGGTTGCCAGGACTATTTTTGTGAATCTCTATCACTGAGTTTGTTTCTGTGTATTGTCTGATTGTAAATATTTAGACTGTACCGCTTTTCATTATGTTCAGTTATTGTCCCTATTATAGTAAACTAGTGAATGATAGCGAGTGATTTTGTTCCTACCATTACTTTGTTCTATACAATGTTGCATTGTATTTTAATGCATGCATTCTTGTTGAAAATTCTTTTTATGCCACCGCAGCATCTGCGATGCGGTGGCATATAGCGATTCACCTGTGTGTGTGTTTGTTTGTGTGTGTGTGTGTGTGTTATATAGATTATATAGTGAACTTAAAAAATCTTCTTGTGAAAAACCACAAGTCCAATTTCAACCAAACTTGGCAGGATTGATCCTTGGGTGAAGGCCTTCCAAAGTTGTTCAAAGAATTTCATTCCATGCAGAATTCTGGTTGCCATGGCAACCAAAAGGAATTATAAGAATAAATTTAAAAAATCTTCTTGTAAAGTACCAAAAGGCCTAGAGCTTAGATATTTTGCATAAGGCATTGTCTGGTAGACCTCTACCAAGATTGTTCAAATTATAGCCCTGGGGTCCAAATCGGCCCCGCCCCGGGGGTCATTGATTTTCACTATATGTACATATAGTAAAAACTTAAAATACCTTCTTGTCTGAAGGTACAAGGCTTAGAGGTTTGATATTTGGTATGTGTTATTATCTATAGGTACTCTACCAAAGTTGTTCAAATTTTGCCTCTAGTGTCAAAATTAGCCCTGCCCTGGGGGGGTCATAGGTTTTCCTCATATGTATATAGTAAAAACTTAAAATCATCTTCTCTAAATTGACAAAGGCTAGAGGTTAGATATTTTGCATGAAACATTGTGTAGTGAACCTCTAGCAAGATTGAACAAATTATAGCCCTGGGGTCAAAATTGTCTGAAGGTACAAGGCTTAGAGCTTTGATATTTGGTATATGATATCATCTATAGGTACTCTACCAAAGTTGTTCAAATTTTGCCTCTAGTGTCAAAACTAGCCCTGCCCCGGAGTCATAGGTTTTCTTTACATGTATATAGTAAAAACTTTAAAAAATCACCTTCTCGAATTGACAAAGGCTAGAGGTGAGACATTTTGCAGTAAACATTGTGTAGTGAAACTTTAGGAAGATTATTCAAATTAAAGCCCTTGGGTCAAAACAAAAAAAAATTGTTCCTACATTACTATTTTAGTGTTGTATTTATGCGGTGGCGTAGCATTTTTTACAAATGCAATCTTGTTTGTTATTACAGTTTGGAAAGTGAACATTACATCCAACACATAGACGACTGGCATGGCCCATGGGAGTGTCCAGAATTGGCAATGGATGGAGAGGAACTTACTTACTTGGAGTACTTATTTCAATTTGTAAGTACTAATTTAATCCCAAAACAGTTAGCAAGGTTTCTCTGTGAATTTGATCTAGAGGACATTGAGTCAATTGTCTTTGACTGCTGATTACATACGTAATCATGTGGGATAAGTTATCACTTGTGGAAAAATTGCTGTTGTTTTTTAGCTCGACCTTATTTTTGTTGAAAAAAAACAAAACAATAATAGAGGTATTGTTATGCCCCACTTCAATGAACTGGGGGTATATTGCTTTGCATTTGTCTGTCATTGGTCTGTTGGTAGACAAGATGGTTCCGATCAATAACTAAAAAACGCTTTGGACTAGGAACTTCAAACTTGGTATGGGGATTGTTCATGACCAGAAGATGACCTCTATTGTTTTTGGGTACTTTCGGTCAAGGTCAAATTGACCTTGAATGTCAAAATGGTTTCCAATTAACAATCTACAACTTATGGGACTTTGATCTTCAACTTCAGGTTCATTGGTCTTGGCCTGTAGATAACCCCTATTGATTTTGGGGTCAAAGGTGAAGGTCATATTGACCTTGTTGGTAAAAAAAGTTCTGATCAATAACTTGACAACCCATGGGCCCTTGGCCCTCAAACTGCATAGGTGCATTGGTCTTGGCCAGTAGATGATCCCTATTGATGTTGGGGGCAAAGGGCAAGGCCATATTGACCTTGTAGGTAAATAAATCAGCTATAAATGATTTCTGATCAATATCTCAACAACTCCTAGGCCCTTCACCATGAAACTTCACAGGTGCATTTGTCTTGATCAGGAGATAACCCCTATTGTTTTAAGGGTCAAAGATCAAAGACACATTGACCTTGTAGCTAAAAACGGTTTCCTACTTATAACTCTCAACAACTCAAGTTGCCATGGTTGATATTTTTTATTAAACTAAAAATGCTTTTGGTACACATTACAAAGTCAAATGTAATATAACAAATTGGCTGTCATTAAGGAGGCATACATGATTCATTAAATTTATGTAAGATTTGTGATAACTTTGTCATAAAATTGCTGCACACAACCTTTTCAGTCACAATGCCACAGTGACTAGTCATGACCAGTAGATAACACCTATTGATGTTTTGGTCAGTAGGTCACAATAACCTGGCCACATGACTAATTGGCTGCCGATAAGGGGCATACATGTTTTACAAATATATCTTGTAATGTTACATTCATGTGGGCATTGACTTCTGAAAACTTTAACCTTGATCATAACTTTTTAAGTTCTTGGTGTAAGCATTATTATACTCAATGAAACACCCTTATGACAACTCTTGAATTGTCGAGCGTTGCTGTCCTCCGACAGCTCTTGTTTATTCTGCAAACGATTGCTGTACAATACATCATAAGAAAGTGTGTCAATAATAAAGACAAAATAAAGAACATATCTTGAATAATCTGGTTTAAAACTTACATTTATATATTAAGTTCTACCTGCATCAAGCTGTACTACTCGCTACATGTTAACTACATGTGATAACAGTGATGTTTATATCTTTGTCAAGTGAAACATAACAACTATTAGCTCCAGTTATCTCATGGAAACTTCAAATTTTACTTCTATGCATGCATGTATTTAACTGTAAACAGATATGTTGATGTTTTAAGATCGGTTTTGTGTAGGAGAGTAGCTTTAAAGGTGAAACGCACATTAAAACGCACATTATGTGAAATTGTTAGCGAAATCAAGAATCGGATCCATGCTTTTAATATAATCTTACATCTTGTCTTTCTTTCGTTATTTTAGATTCCTCAGTACTCATATGATCCCAACTATTGGTATGACAAAGACGGAAATTTTATCCCCAGAGAGTTACTGAAGGAGGTATCGCCTGTGACCCTGGCAAGTGAAGATCCGACCTGTAACCAAGGAGTACCGCCTACCCCAAAGGTCACCTCGTAATACTGTACTGTTGGTAGACATTTAAATTTTCAAATGTGTCGCATGAAAAGAATCCACGGAATTACAGTGATGTTAAGACTTAACAAGATTTGAAAAAAAAATTAAAAAATGTTGTTTTTCTTTTTTTAAGTTATTGAAATGAATGCATGGCGTTAAAGTGATTTGAGAATATGAAAGCTGTACATCATAGAGGACACTGATGTTATATCATATGTTAGATTTGATCCTATTTTTGGGTTTGATCAATAAAGTTAAATTGAAATATTTTGTTTACCATGTGTTCTTAGCTTTAGACTTTGTGAAAAATATTGGAACTGATTATCTTGCCTCCAATGTGAGACCATCCAGTTAGCTCAATAGGTAGAGCAATGGACTGTGAATCGGGTGATCCCGGTTAGATTCTGGGACAGTGCAGGTCACTTTTGTTGTAATTGGTCATGAAATCTTTTCTATGGTCATTTGCAATGTACCTCTGCTCTGGCATGTACAGAAGTTTCAGTTCCTTGGGAAAGTGAAGGCAACTAGTACTTGTTTAACTGCGCTAGAGCCTGCCCAGGGACAATGCGGTTGCTTAACTGTGCTCTGGTTAATTCAACGTGGCTTACTGCAGATAGCTAGAGTGAAAACTACCAACACCACCATGCCTCCAATGTGTCAACACTGTTTAAATTGAGATTTTGTGTTGAACTAATTGTGGAATAGTTTATCTGATCAACTGCTGAAGATGCATGTATAATTTTACATTTTATGCATCCATTCAAGATCATGTGGCTAGTCCAATATGATTTCTCCAGCTGTGTACTCATTAACATATATTCTCATATTGTACAGTTCAAGGTTGAATATCCTAAAAGAACTGCATCTAAACAACATGGTAGCTGAACAAAACGTTGATGAAGATTACAAACAAAACTGTATTTTAACAATATATTTATGTATATAATAAACAAAACTGTAGTTTAACAAAATGTCAATGTATATTACAAACAAAACTGTTGTTTAACAAAAAGTTAATGTATATTACCAACAGTTCTAGTTTAACAAAGAATTTATGTGTATTGAAAACAGAACTTTAGTTTAACTAAACATTAATGTATATTTCAAACAACTTAGTTCAACTAAACCTTAATGTATGTTACAAACTGAACTGTAGTTTAACTAAACGTTTGGGTATATTACAAACAAAACTAGTATAAGAAAATGTTAATGTATATTACAAACAAAACTATAACAACACATTTATGTATATTAAAAACTGAACTGTGGTTTAAATAACGTTTATCAGTTTAACAAACAAAGCATGTTAATGTATATTGCAAAAAGAACTGTAGTTTAACTAAACATTTATGTACATTGTTAAAACTGTAGTTTAACTAAACATTTATGTACATTGTATACTACAAACAAACCTGTAGTGAAACAAAATCTCAGTATTACAAACAAACCGCACTTTTTATAAATTGTACATAGTGGTGTTCAAGTGCATCTAAGCATAAAACCGGTTTATCACATTTTCTCATAGCTCTGTCCGCACATTGACATACAGCCTCTCTGGAAAAGATATGAAACCTAGCTAAATATTGAATATACAGTTATGGAACAAACTAACAAGTGCTAAATAAATTCGATTTCCACACCGGCCATAGCTTTTATCCACCGCTTCTGCGACGAGTACTCCACCGCTGCTGCGATGGACCCACCGCTTCTGCGAAAGCTATGGACAGGGTGATTTCTAAAAGATGCTGATGAATTATTACCTCTCATCATTTTTTACCGATAATGCTCTTGAAAGATGATTTACACGAGCTTGACATATAGAGGTTGAACAAATTTAAAACGTCATCTGGTGGCGCATCAAAGTTTGTTAGATTTTCTATAACATGCGATCTAATAATGCACAAGGAAATACGCTTAGCTCATTCGCATAGGCCTAGGTATTGGATTAGTAAAACAGGGTCTCTGGTTTGATCCTCGGACGAGGCGTTATTTCTTCATGACAGTTGATTTTGTGGCCAATTTTCTTCTACCAGTCTTTCAGAATTCATGTGGGATTAGTATTCGGTTACTTATAGAGGAAGTGACTGAATCACTGGGCTAGTTATGCAGGAAAACCCGTAAGGTGAACTGGACGTGGGGATATGCCCGGAAATAAGTTAAAATCGGGTAAAAACACCAGAGAAACAAAATCAGAGTAAAAAACACCAGAGAAACAAACTTAATGTTACTGAATGGTTGTAACTGTAAAGTTTATTTAACCCTTTGCCAGCTTTAAGCTATCACATTAGCCTTTACAGGTTGGTATCAGACCAGACAACAAGTACCCCACCGAGTACCATACCTGGTACCTCACCGAGCATCTAGCGGTCATGTCGGGCACCAAGCTGTTAGACTGTCACCATTATTTTTAACCAGGTTTTCCGAAGGAAAAAACTGGATATTAGATTGAGGTATGTCGGCGGGCGGGCGGGCGTAAACAATTTCTTCTGTGCGCAACCCCTCCTACATTTCTCAATAGATTTTGACCAAACTTTCACAAAACCTTTGTCATCAAGTGCCCTGGCGCATATTGTCGGGGTTTTGTGATTTGATAATATTTGACCTAATTATGGTCCTTTGTTTTTTTTCTTTATACAGAATATATAGTGAACAATTTCTTTTGTGCGCAACTCCTCCTACATTTCTTTATGGATTTTTACCAAACTTTCACAGAAGCTTTGTCATTAAGTGCCCTGGCGCATAGTGTCGGGGTTTTGTGATTGGATAATATTTGACCTAATTATGGCCCTTTGTTTTTTTTTTCGTTATATAGAATATTTAGTGAACAATTTCTTCTGTGCGCAACTCCTCCTACATTTCTCAATGGATTTTGACCAAACTTTCACAGAAGCTTTGTAATTAAGTGCCCTTGCACATATTGTCAGGGTTTTGTGATTGGATAATATTTGACCTAATTATGGCTTTTTGTTTTTTTTTCCTTATATAGAATATATAGTGAACAATTCTTCTGTGCGCAACTCCTCCTACATTTCTCAATGTATTTTGACCAAACTTTCACAGAAGCTTTGTCATCAAGTGCCCTGGCGCATAGTGTCGGGGTTTTGTGATTGGATAATATTTGACCTAATTATGGCCCTTTGTTTTTTTTCCTTATATAGAATATATAGTGAACAATTCTTCTGTGCGCAACTCCTCCTACATTTCTCAATGTATTTTGACCAAACTTTCACAGAAGCTTTGTTGTCAAGTGCCCATTGCGCATATTGTCGGGGTTTTGTGATTGGATAATATTTGACCTAATAATAGCCCTTTGTTTTTTTTCCTTATACAGATTATATAATGAACAATTTCTTCTGTGCTCAACTCCTACATAATTCTCAACGGATTTTGTTCTAACTTTCACAGAAGCTTTGTCATCAAGTGCTCTGGCGCATATTGTCAGGGTTTTGTGATTGGTTAATATTTGACCTAATTTTGGCCCTTTGTTTTTTCTCTTATACAGAATATATAGTGAACACCTCTTCTGTGTGCAATTCCTCCAACATTATTCATGATTTACATTGCACATAGTTACATTGTTTGTTGCTTGTATTTGCATTTCAGCTACAACATATTTATCTACAATGGTGATAATTGAAAACCTGGTTTCATGGCATTGCCATGTTTCTTGTCTGTTAATTTCTTGAATTTTTGATAAAAATCCTAAAATTAGGCAGCGGACACTTTTAGCAGACGACAATTTCCCGGTAATTATATAACCTGAATATTTGTATTCCAGTGTATTGTAAACTACGTTAAAACGTCTATACTAATGATTGACAGTAATAGAAAATTGTATTATAAAATGTAGATATATACAGCAAAAATAAATTTTATTCGACATGTCACGTGATACCTTGATGTTGCTAGGAAGACCGCACCAGAAAGAGCTGTTTGGAATGATTTCCCGACCCGTCGCCTTTTTACAATATTTCATTATCAAGGCACCGATCACAAAATACAACAGTACCACTCCAATTACCCTAGAAATATAAGAAAAATAAAATAAGGCCGATGATAAAACAATTGTCAGATTGGTTGAAGGGTTAAATAGTAATCTTAGGCCCATTGCACAAACACTAAGGTTTAAACATATTTATTTAAACTCGATTGCGGAACAAATTTTTGCAACTTATATTAATCACTTTCGAGTCCGCTTCCTGAAAGCAACCAGTATATTGGTGTCATATGAAGGAACACTTGAGATATAGAGGTCCTGACACCCTTTCCCCATTCCTAAACCGACTGTGTGAAAAAGCAACAGATATTTCAACTCGCTTTATATACATATACATGTACAAATCATGCAAACCATTATTTAAAATTGCTTTAAAAATCTACAACTTGTTCAGTATTGTACATATATCGAGGGCTGACCGCAAAACTGTTGTAAGTCCTTGTTTGTTTCATATAAATTACTACAGTTCTGCGTTTAACCCTTGTTATATGGACTGAATTATATTTTTGTTCAAAACTGCTAAAAATGGTTCATTGGTTCGTATAATAGGAAGATTTACAAAAACAAAAAAAATATTTGATTTTTTATTTCTCAAAATCTTTGTATTCTTTTGTGTCCAGTTTATATCAGAGACATAGAAACAGATGTTATCTATGTCTCTGTTAATATAGTTTCCAAAAAAAAAATACACAGTGGTCTATTACCTACGTTCTACTTTTTATGACAAATATTTTTACATTCAACACTTGCATTTCTTCAGTGATAAGCATGTTTGCCCTTTCTAAAGTATCCCTTGGTCGGAATGGCCTCCCAAATTTGTCTGGCTATCTCATAATATTTATTTAAATTTTATGGTATAATATTGTTCTTTTTTCTTAGAATATACTGCAATATATTTTAAATAAATGCCAGTTGATATCAATGAATATAGTATAGGTTCATATATTTAAATAAATACCCTATGAGAATAAGGTATCCAACACCAAGAGTGAATTTGTCCGAGCCTTTTTGACCTATAACCCCGTTAGCATCACATCTGTTCCCGCATGCGCATGGCGTGTACAACATTAACACCTGCAGCAAAATAAAATATAATCGAATTCTTGTATATACGCCTGAAATATGAACGCAAGAACGAGGCGCAGCCGAGGGATAATATGCCAGTTCAAGGGTTGTCCTCTATCACAGCCATGTGTTATTTATTTTATTTTACCGAAATACCTACAACTACAATATTTATAAAGTATGCAGTCAAAGAAAATGAATAGAATACACATCATCATTTTTACAATTAAATTTTGCTTAAACAGTAACAGTTCAAAAATGATTTTATACATTTCTAAACGCTTAATATTGATTAGTCGAAGGGAATTAACTGGTACAATATTACATACGGAGGTATGTAGGTGTTATCTCCCTTACACCAAAAAACATTGTAACAAAGTAGTTAAACTTAAAAATATGCTGGAGTTATGCAAGAGTAAAGTGCCCTAGGGTGATATAAGAAATATTCTCTGGGGAATATATCCTAGAAGTGTGATATTTAATCAGAACACATAATAGGCCTATGGGAAATTTACATTGGAGGATATATTGAGGTATAATAGATTAAAAATAGTTAAAATATTCAATGTATTCTTACAAAATAATAATGAATGTAATAAGCAAGAGTCGGTTGAACCGGGTGATGCTCCCCGATTAAGTTTTGGACACAGGAAAGTATACCTTCTGTAGTTTCAGAGTTACTAGTATATCCCGACAAAGCTCAAAGTGCAATAATTCCAAACTTAGGATATGCAGAGTAACTGTTCTTTGCACTGCACTTCTACCCAATAAGATCTATCTACCGACTTTGTTTATTGTTGATACCTCTTCTAGTTTCACAGTAATGTCTCGGAAAAGTTGTGAGTGTAAAAATCAGCAATAACCCCAAAATAAGGCAAGGTAGAGTTACGGTTCTTGTGCACTGCATATCTAATCAATGAGATCTATCTACCTACAAAGTTTCTTGTTCATATATCTCTTATAGTGTCAGAGTTATGTCCCGGACAAAAAAGCGGCCGGACGGACGGACAAAGTGGCGACTTTATGCTCAAAATGTATATATAAATAAAATATTTTTGAAGTGAACAAAGTAAGTAATGTACACATTGGAAACAGCACGTACAGTCCATGTTGAGTACTAGAAAGAGGTCAATATATGCAAAAATAGTCCATACTGCAGGAGTCATGCAGAAGAATTATGGTGATAAATACTGAAAAATCAGTCTTTAACGTGCAAATTATTACTTGAATCTTTTGACTTTTCTAAAAATCAAAGTACTTTTTGCTAAGGTTGACTTTCTTGAAGTATTTTTGCTTATCTGGAGGCATGCAGCTTTAAAAACACTTATGTTATATACTATATTTCATTTGAGTTTCATTGTCGGGATATGTGTTGCTTTTTTGTTTGCTTTTGTTGTGTTTTTTCAAATACAAAGTATACCGTATTCTGCATGGCCGACTTTATCCCAATATCAATTTTATTAATAAGATATCTTATCACAAATAATCTTAATTAACATACATTATCTATTTATCCCCGCACACGCGCACACCACAACCTAAAAAAACGTATTTGTGGCGGCCCTTATATTTATACATGTATATTGTTTGGATACTTACATACAAGTTTTCACTTATAGTTCCATTTGGATAGAACTGTGGTGGTCCCGGCCGGGGATTGTCATCACACATTAAATATACAAATGTATGTCTGAAATATATAGTAAAGAAAAAAAAGCACGAATATTTAAAAATCTGGCGTTTTTTTCAAGCAAACAGTTGATGATAAACATTGATTACGGTCGAATTATTTAGAAATTAAATTGTCGGGTTGTTATTTTTAATACACGCAACATTCAGGACATTTTTTTGAAATATACGTTTTGGAACAAGGTATTAAACTCATTTTACCCCTGAAGTAAGCTATTTCTGAAATTCATATGTACAATAGTCTTAGTTATTTTTTTACATATTTTTTCTTCTTTTTGACGGAGCATTTTTATATATAAAACCGTTTAGTTTCCCTAGTGATTAAATTTGTTGCACACGCACGCATGCGCGCACATTCTTACGGGCGAATCATGAATCATGGCTTTCTACTAGAATAGATTGACGGAAACTATCCAAATATCTATACGTTGCTAATGCATTGTAAATACACTGCGGATATTTTAAACAAACATGTCGTCTGCATTAAAAGCAATACAGCAAAAAAAATATTTGCTGTGTATACCAAAAACGTTATATACGGCACGCATTTGTTGGACAAATTCATTAACAATCCCCAAATGATTACGACTTAATTAAAATTAAACAATTGAATTTCGGAATCTTTGGTCATGTCGATGTGTATGACATAAATACGAGTACATTTAAAAATATGCTTGAAATTCAGTCGGTTATTTAAAAAATATCCCTTTCGCGAAGATTCCTTACTGAACAAAAGAGCTAAGTTTTCCTCTTTGAAGAGAAATATTCCGAATATTTTACACAGTAGAGCTACACGTTAGAGAAGATAGTATTTCAACTCTATGTATAGGTAATCCTTCAAAAACATGGCGGATGGTGTGTCCCGTAGGCGCCCTTTTTTAGGTTTATTTGATCGTCCATTTTGTTATCATGTGATATTAAATTGTACATTCTGATTGGATTAGGACAGGCGGTGTAAGGGTAAAGATGGTCTAATCCTGTTACTGTCCAGGAACAGCGACAGAAAACTTACACATTTCCAAGTGCTCCAGCAGTATAACCTATAACTGTATCCCCGGTAAGCTCGTCATATGTGAACTGTGGCATCTCGGCATAGCCCGTCACCTCCGTCTTACCCGTTATCCGGTCTTTCCGACACACCTGTGTAAAATCTATCATGTAATACCAATATGGATTAAATTTATGCTGAAGTGTTCCATCAAAACAATACAAAAATCTGAGCTCTGTAAATTTACACGAACGTCCATTTCTTTATATTGTGTGATTTTCTTTTCGGAATTGACTTACTTTTTGCTCATAAATGTTTAACCGGAAATGCTGTTAATTGCACTCTTATCTAAAAGCAACTTCTGTGCAATTTCCTATAAATTCAGCCATATAAAAGCCCCGTTGCGTTTCTTCTTTAACCCTTAATAGTCTGGTGGCGGCAACTAAATCTACTCATGCGATCAGAGCAGGCCAAGATCTTCAGGTACAGCCGTGCCGTCTGAATCATGGTCTGCACTATTCGCTATTTAGTCAGAACATTATTTGAGAATTTTCCCCAGAATTATTAATGGTTTTGTCCAGAATGAAAAACGGACGAGTCCATTTTAGATATTAAGTGTTGCAAGAGTTAAACATATAAAATACGAATCGACTTGATAACATTTGTAACAGTTTTATAGGTAAACATATATGATCAAACAAAAGATAAGCCTTTTGAGGATGTTAGACACTTCTGTCAGTCCATTCAGTTGAATAATCATAGTAAGAAAATCCTATGAGATGACAATGAATCAAGATATCCCATACTTATATGATTTTTTTTAATATTTCTATTTGTATTGTTTTAGTTTAATTGCGCGTACGAGCGTGTACGAGTACCTGTATTTAGTTTATTATTGTAATACTTACTGCAGCGTTAATACAGCTGAACTCGGTAAAAGGTCCACACGGGTTGTACGAATACAGATAACCGTCTTTAGACAACACATCCTGAAATCTAAAAGTAAGCTTTATTTTGTATAAGCCCGACTTTTTTAAGAATATGGAGAGCTGTTGTACTCACTAAGGCGCCTACATATTTTGTTTTCCTTTCTATCAGAAATCCATTTGTTACTAAGAAAAATATCACAGTTAAAACCTCTTTTATTTAAAAAAAAAGAACTTTGCATTTATGTAACATATACAAGGAAATTCACAAAGCGCGCAGTAGAAGAACAAAAGGCCGGATGAGAATAATGCACCTAGACCTGTGATTGTTTGGCTATATTTCTTCTTCTACACGCGAACGAATACGAACACCAAGCGTACTACTTTGAGGGGTGCCATGGTTTCAAAATTATTCTACTTTGGAAATTAACTAGCGCCGACGTAGAAGAGCAAACGGCCTGGTAGTTCTTCTTCGTCGGAAATTCTCAAAGCGCCGACGAAGAAGAGAGCAATAGGTTTATTATTAATATATATTACTTCTGTGGTTTCATAGTAGAATATCAGATATAAATATAGGTTTTACCTACCTTGCCGTTCCATCATTTTTCCCTACACTGGTTATGTCTATAGTTGTATTGTCATCTTGGAACTGACATTTGCATTCATTAATCCCTACGCATACATGGGGAGTCTGCGTAATAACATCACGTGTCTTGACTAGAAACACAAATACATATAAAGTTTCCTTTTAAAAGGAAAGGCTTGCACAGTTGTGCCTTCATCCCAACATATTTATTTGTTTTTATTTTTGTAAAAACGAATATTTTTGTCAAAACGATTTGAAATCTATTCTCTATTGTATAAAACTAATAAAGAAAATAATCAATCGTAAAAATACTAACGTGAAGATCTATCATACTGAAAGGAAACAAGTGTGCACATTTCATTTAATTAATAAGCATGTTCCCAGATACGATGCGCTATCTATAAATCATCACGTGGTAAGGTTAATGATATGCATGGGCTATTTTTAGATTACCTCACCAAGTTCAGTAGATTCTATATATAACTCGATCATGCACTGTGTGATTTGGACCACCCTTTGAAGACGGAATACTACTACAGTCAACATCCTCTATTGTGTAAAACTAATACAGACAAAAAACAATTATAAAAGAAACTAACTTTTGCGTCTTGAAAAACAAATGAAACGGAACAATTTCGTTTATAATTTATTACGGTTTAAAACAATAAATCAAGTAAAAATACGAATCCTATTTATATAAACAAACTGGGATTACCGAAGTAACTAAAATAGCTTAGATTTCCGTAATATTACTTCGTCTGATTCCGCAGTATGACGGAATCGCCCGAATTGTCACGATTGCAATCGGAAGTACATCGGCTATTATCATTAATCCGAAGAGTGACGGAAAAGGCCGAAAAGTTGCGATTGGCACGATTTCAGCTGGTTTCCCGTTCAATCATGCACTTATAAATGTAAGCAGAAAACCACCTAACCGGAACAGGTTTTCCAAATGAAATGGCTTGCAGCCACGGAAAAATAGCAACATTTTACTTCCAGGATGCATGGGACATATTTCCATATTGTCCGAAACGATGCGTCAAATAACTATTAAAAACATAAAATTATAGACATTGACTAGTACTGGTGTAATAAACACATGTTTCTTTAAATAGTGTTTCATAAAAATGTTTTAATGTTACAGAATATTTTGCTGATATTTTGCACTGCATATATCCCCTTGAAATTTCCAAATCAAATAATTTTGTATACATATTAACTTTATATAATAATTATGATGTTTATAGATAATATACACATAATTTGATACAGAGATATTGTACACAAAGATATCTTAGTCACGGTCATATTTTTATCGTATTTATCTTTATCTATTTATCATTTTTATCGTGTAATAGTTTATTGATATAATCATATGAGCATAGGGCTGATAGTTGGTATATATAAACATACAAAAATCACACATATATTAACATATATTCACCATGAAATATCTATTGACTGGATTATTTAACATTTATTTTTTACTCGGTATTGTTAACGCCGAAACATGTGAGCGGAAGTCATCTTGTTCATGCGAATGCTCGAAAGGAACCATTGACCTTAAAGCTCTTGGATCAAAAGGTGGACCCAGGTATGTTTTTATCAACTTGTTCTAAAATACGGTTACTGTCATTTTACAGTAAGGTATATGATGTCACATTGACAGTCATTTTCACAGACTCTATCCCATCGCTTGGTCCTCCTCTTTAAACTGTAAATAGACAAACAAACAAAATTTCAGAAGTTTCAAAAACTTTCAAAATGCAAGTTAAATAATTAAGACAGATGCAACATTTCTTTTAAACAGTTAAAATGTTTATTTCTTCTTGACAATTTACGGGGTCTTATCAAGCCGTGGGATTGGGTCTGACCCCAAGTGTCTGTTGTTATCTTATGAAAGTATATTGCACTTCAACTTAATAGATGGACTTCTTTTTATAGTAAAATCGTTTATAATGTCTGACTTCTATAACTTTGTATGTCGCGTTTATGATTACAGCAATACTTAAAATGAGCCGTGTCACGACAAAACCAACATTATGGGTTTGCGACCAGCATGGATCCAGACCAGCCTGCGCATCCGCGCAGTCTGATCAGGATCCATGCTGTTCGCTTACCAACCCAATTACAAGTAGAGTAACTGATAGCGAACAACATGGATCCTGATCAGAGTGCGCGGATGCACAGGCTGGTCTGGATCCATGCTGGTCGCAAACCCATTATGTTGGTTTTGTCGTGACGTGGCTCAAATTCTGTTCGTGGATGACTAGCTGCTAAAGCTAAATGAGCTTCGTAATAATATAGTTCTCAACAACTGTAAAGTTCAGTGTCAACCAGTTAATCTGAATGAAAAAAAGTGTTTAGTTAATACGAATTCATTTTAATTCAATTGTGTTGGAAGCTGTACTGTAAGTTTATTGAAACGCTGTCAAATTTCTTTACCTGGACCTTACCAGTACTTATATAGAAATGAGTGTAAAGTTTTTTGATGAAGTAAACAATAGCTAGCCCATCGGCGTTTGTACCCACGCAGCCAGCAATCTTTAGAATACTAGTCCGACGCGTTAACAATTTGGCCACTTCGCCACACAAAAAGTTTTTGGTTGTCATGGGAATGATAGTCTAAATAAGAATCTGATGATACAACTAGAACATGCACTCTGTTTTAGCTCTATTCAGATAGCGTCACTGTGTCACCGATATAAAAATTCCGAAAAATTATATCAGGTCTGGGCATGATTTTATTTTCAGCTCAATTAGATAGAGCGTTGGACTGTGAATCGGCGACTCGGGTTCGATTCCCGGACGGCGCAGGTCACTTTCGGAAATCCTTTCTACGGTCATTCGCACGGTACCCCTGGTCTGGTATGTACAGAAGTTTCTGTTCCAAGTGAAAGTGATGGTAAACTGCTTCACAGCGTGTCCATGAATGATGCGGTGGCTGAACTGTGCTCTGGTAAATTTAATGTGGCTTACTGTCCGGAATGAAAACTACCAACACCACCAACAATTTTATTTTTTTCACATTGCAGATATAAAGATTATCCAGCGTTGGATCAGATGAAATACTCTTATAATCCATGTGATCCATTCACAGAGACCGACCCATCAGCCTTCGCAGATTACTGCCATGATGTCGCGGTAATTTATCTTACAATTATCAATGACATTTTGACCCTGACCCGTCTTAAATGGACAACGATTAATCTTTGCCACCTGTGTAGAGTCAGAACAGCCTGCTTTAATTTTTAAACTTTAATTTTTTATCTTGGTATTCCCGAACTTGATAATGTACAGTTCCAAGAATGGAAGTTGGGCATGTCCTTTGAAAAAAGGTGTTGTCTGTAAGGGTTGATGCATCAGAATTAAAATCGCCGTATATCCCTGCCTGATCGTAAGAGGCGATTAAATAGTTCCGAATAACTTGAGTCTATGCATCTCTTAGCTCCAGGTGAGTAGATACTGACCCCTGGTGTTGCTTTTAAATTTGTAACATCCCAGCTTAGCCAAAATTACTAGTATTTCCTTTTTCGGCGCCATAATCTTTTACTATTCAAAAGAAATTTTTGCCGGATATTTTGAACTAAATTTAACAAAAAATAACACTATTTTCTCTCAATTCACTAGGCTTGTCAAGTTATAGGTGACGTAGGGACGTTCCAATTCTACGATACTGGTACACAAGACAGAGTGACGTTTTACACAGAAAATGCTCAGAATGTTGGTCTGGATTTGGATTCGGACATAGTAGTTGCAAAATATACATCAGCGGACGCTGCGAGGTACGGCTATATATGGTGTTTATACAGTGCCCGATATTCACGTACAATCATGCTTTTGAATTGTACCACGTGATTTAATAATTCCTAAATAAGACAGTTGAGCGCGCACAGACCCACAAGGATCATGTACTAGGGTCCATGAGCCCCTTGTACAAATGATGCCTTGAAAGGCAGGTCTTCTGCTTGGCACCAACAGTCCTTTTAAGGGTTACCTCCTTCTCTCACATTGTCTCAGGTTACTGTACAGTACATTAAGATTCTCATTGACCGCCGTACAGTGACCTACTTTTGGCTCAAAATTAATATCTTTGGCTAATATATCATGGAAATTGCATGGAGGTAAATTATCACTGTGCTTCAAAATGAACTCTTTAGGAACATGACTGGTGACATGTACGCGGTCCGTGCACCACAGCAAAGGCTGCTCCTTAACGGGCGGATGGAGCCTCATTAAACATAGGCTACATACAGGCCCTTGTCTATGTATTGTCAAAAATTAAAAGAGAAAAAGAAGACCAAAAATATCCGAAAAAAGTGTAACTATCCGATCTGTCTGCACGACTTATCTCACTTCTGTACTCGTCCATATATATATTTCTGTTTGTACGGTTCAATTTTTAATACATATGTACCATATAATTATTTGGCACGACATAGTATATGGTTATACAAAACTTTCTGTGATTTTTCTGATCCTGTGACTTTTTACATTTCACTATGGTTTTAACGCTTAAGACCCCGCCTTTGTCTACTGTTTTTGGTCACAGTTTTTAACATATTGAAATAAATGGTCGCTTTTTAATATTTTAAAATAAATCATATCTAAATCTACTTTATGATATAAATGTTGACATAATATAACTATATTTTGTCCAAGAAACACCTTAGATATTCTAGTAGTTCATTGTTATTATATTTCTTTCAGACAAACAGAGGTTCTTCTTGTATGCAATAACCAAGACTCTACGACTGCTTTTGATACTCTCGGTGAAATTACTAATACCCCGCCCACTTATGTAAGTTGTGATAATGGTACTCACGGGGGGGGGGGGGGACTGTTACACGAAGGATGGAGTTTTTATGATAACTTGTTCACGAGTTCTTGTGATAACTGTCACGGAGTTCGTCGGAAAATATCTGTATATACTACAAAAACACTCGTCATAATGGTTATTTTCATCTTTCAAAAATGAGTTTTTGGTGCTATATATGTTTCGACGAACTCCGTGACAGTTATCACATGAATTTCTGAAAAAGTTATCATAAAAACTCCATCCTTCGTGTGTAACAGTTCCTTATCCGTGGTACTGTTAATGTATTAATATTCATAGCCTAGTGACGCGGTGTAACACCGCACTTTGGGGTCAAACGCACTTTGGGGTTCGACCCCAAAGTGCGTTACGTACTTTGGGGTCCGACCCCAGAGTGCGTTACGCACTTTGGGGTCCAATTTTAACCCCCAAAGTGCGTTAAACAGGTACATATGCATTTTTTAACATCAGGCAAACGACCGCACTTTGGGGTCATAGAAAATTAATGTTCATTATGTTTTTAATAATATTTTGTAGTCAAAGTCAATGGTAAACAAAAAATCAAGGTATTAAATAGATACAAACATGTGCCCTGAATTATAGTAGAATCAATAGGGATTTAAATGATCTTGATTAGTAAGTGAATAACTTTCACCAAATAAATCACCAAATTAAGAATTTCTATCAATTATTAAGCTTAAACTATTTTTTCTCAAATTTTCCATTTATTTTAAAAGAATGTACACCTTTCATTAACTCCATTGTTTTAAGCTAAATGCATTATTTTCCCGTTTTTTATTTACACATTTTATAGAAATATGATAGTCTTAGCATAGACATGGGTATAAATTCTGGGAAATCTTAGTAGGACATTTTAGTAAAAAATGTGCCTGATAATATGTTGAAAGAGCCATTTATTTAGCTAAATGTGACATATAAGAAATTTGACTAGGTGTATATAGATGCGGCTTTAAGTAGTAGTCAGTACAGGCAGTACTAAAGATATCAACTATTTAAGTAGTCGCACATTAAGAGCGGAGCTTCAGAATAATGTAAAATTCTCACTGGGGGTATTGAGGGGATTGTGGGGTATCGATCCCCCGAGGGTTAAAAATAATGTTTTAAAGGCCCATTATGCTTTTATTTGTTTTTCTTAAAAGCTTTTTCATTTTGATGTTCTTCTATATTATCCAAAAAATACACATTGACCAATTACCTGAACCATCTTTTTCATTTGTTGCTTTCTGGCAATGATGAGTACAGTTATAGTGAATTAGTATTTTATAGGGAAGTCAAATACTACAGGGTTTTGACTTCTTTTATGACAAATAATTTCACATTTATCGCTACTTTATTCAGGTAACAAGCATCTTACATTTCTCAGATACCATTATTTTAACGTTATAAAATTCATGTTTGCTCTTTCTAAAGAAGTATGTAAGATTTACCATAAAAAGCCTCTGGCGAACGGTTGTTACGGAGCTTACAAAAACCCTTAAGTTTGTTGATAAGCTTAATAATGTTTTTGTAAAAATCACTTTTTATAGTCCGATCGAAAAACTTGATGTTTCCCCAGAACATTGCAATAGAGTATATTTATAGTTATTTGGAAAAAAATATTAACTGCATTTTATTTCATTCCCAACATATTTAAAATGGGGCTCAATATGGCACCAAAAGTTATCAAGTAAATGACCGACAGATCGGGATATTTTTCGCAGCATCTTTTAATTCTAGGAATGCACAATTTCTGTACTAGAGTATTTTGAACGGTGGCATAAAAGTGACATTTGTATTTTTTTTTATATTTTGTTTTTTTATTTTTCGTACATATTTTTTGTTTGTTTGTCGTACATATTTTCATTTAAATTTTGAATACATACATTTTTTAGTTTTGCATACATATTCTTCTTTAGTTTGCATACATATTTTATTTTAGTTTTGCATACATATTATTTTTTAGTTTGCATACATATTTTATTTTAGTTTTTTTTGTTCATATTTTTTTTTGTTACATATATTTACATGACGCCATTTGCAAAGTAGAGGTTTGGATAATTACACCATTTGTAAAACACCATTTTTAAACACTTCGCCATCTGTAAATTACAGTACCTCATTTGCAAATGCCATTTTCAAATACCAATATTTTCATTTTTGGAGATATCAAAAAAATAACAACACTTTTTAGTATATATATATATAAATATATAGTCCACGGTAACCCAAAGAAAGGTTCTGCATATGGTCTCGATGAGGTAAACATTTGACACAAGGTGCCTTAAAATCCTTCATAGGGTTTCGGAGATAAGGAGCGGACATGAAACCCAAGTCTTCATCCTTTGACCTGAAGGTGTGACCCCGACCTTGAGCCGACACACCTGGCATATAAGTTCTGCACATCATCTGGATGTGCTAAAAAATTGGCCTACGTTTTATATTTCTCAATTCTCAGGAAGTGGTGCATATTCATGGAATAATAACTGATCACCAATCAACAGCCCTTTCCAAATAGACACTAATATAATAGTATATAATAATAATAAACAATAATTATATGAAATGCATATAATATAAAAAATGGGCCGAAAAAGGTCGGCCGAAACCAGACTTGCCCGGCCGAAAAAGACTGGGCCGATTCCAAAAATGGGTCGAAATGGGACCAAACCACTGTGCTAGTTTTATACTCCCCTATAGGCCGTTATGAGATTTGAAGGCTGTTTTTATTGGCTAAATATGTATGAAAAAAAACAAAAATAAGATAGATATGTACGAAAAACAAAAATAAAATATGAATGCAAAACTAAAAAAATATGTATGCAAAACTGAAAAAATATGTATGCAAAACTAAAATAAAATATGTATACAAAACTAAAAACACAAAAATGCAAATGTCACTTTTATGCCACCGTAATTTTGTTATATGAACACAATTTTTAGATATTTCAAGTGGTAAAATTATTGAAACTTTTATCACTTAAGCATCATAAAGTATTGACCGCCATCTTGAATTCCACCTCAAATATTCCAATGTCGCAGATAAAAAAATAAGTCAGTACTCAGTATTTGAGCAGAACTCAGATGACACCTTTAGACCTCTTGAACCCAAAGTGCGTTGATATGTAGCTTATTAACGCACTTTTGGGGTCAATTTCTCGATTTTAACCCCAAAATGCGTTGGACCCCAAAGTGCGGTGCGAAGTTTAACGCACTTTGGGGTCGGACCCCAAAGTGCGTTTGACCCCAAAGTGCGGTGTTACAACGCGGTATATGAATATAAGACATCATATGAGTTGTTAAGGGCAAAAAATACAGGATTCGGTTTTCACTTGATTTTGAACACTCACAAACGTTGTTAATTAATGTTTGTCTAGAAAACATTTCTTTTCAAGGAGATTGATTCGAATAAATTTAGATATTATATATATATACTCCATATAGATCTAGCCTCGCTTTAGGTTTCCTTGTCCAAAATAATCGATATCGAATTCATATTGGACTCGGATAAACAAAGTTATATTAAAAAGTTAAATTATTGTTGGTCCGAAATAAAGAGGTCATAGGTAGCGCTCGTCCAATATAGGTATAAAACTGTATACTTGTCCAATAGAATTCAGTATTGTCCTCAACACGGTATCATAGCGCCGGCATTATATAAAATGGTCCCTAGATCAACTTTATCACAGCTAAAGTTTAGAAAAAGACATAAATGATATAAATTACAAAGAATCTACGATCTTGTTTGATAAGGTCTTTTGTTATTTCCTTTTATTTTTTCTTTATATTATTTTTGAATTACAGAGATTTATACTTGTGTCTCCGGAATGTTGTTTCGGTGCAGGATCTGGAGGTCTAAGCGGTGGATCTGTACTACTTATCATGTAGGTTTGCAACTTTTATAGACCCATAATACAATAAAAATGCAATCCTTTTTAATTTTACAAAAGCCTTTTCTTTTTGAAGTTTTGTTACAGTTGTTTTTTCAAACAGTTACACTTTGGTCATTTATCTGATACAGCTTTTGCTTCTTTAAGGTTTTGGTAATTAGTAAACTCAAAGTGATTTAGTATTAGGTATTGTGAAGCAAAATACTATTTTGTTTACCGTTATTAGAATTATTTCACATGTGCATTCAGCGCTATCAGGCGATAAGGCGATAACATATTCTGAATCTATTATTACAACATTTTAATACAAATGTTAGTCACTTTCTAATGAGCGTCACTTTGATAGATAATTTGTGTGTAATGTAATGTGTGTCAGTAGTGTCCTGTGTGTCAGTGTGTCAGTAGTGTACTGTCTGTCAGTGTGTCAGTAGTGTACTGTCTGTCAGTGTGTCAGTAGTGTCCTGTCTGTCAGTGTGTCAGTAGTGTCCTGTGTGTCAGTAGTGTCCTGTGTGTCAGTAGTGTCCTGTATGTCAGTAGTGTACTGTCTGTCAGTGTGTCAGTAGTGTCCTGTCTGTCAGTGTGTCAGTAGTGTCCTGTCTGTCAGTGTGTCAGTAGTGTCCTGTGTGTCAGTAGTGTACTGTCTGTCAGTGGTGTACTGTGTGTCAGTAGTGTACTGGCTGTCAGTGTGTCAGTAGTGTCCTGTGTGTCAGTAGTGTACTGGCTGTCAGTGTGTCAGTAGTGTCCTGTCTGTCAGTGTGTCAGTAGTGTCCTGTGTGTCAGTAGTGTACTGTGTGTCAGTAGTGTCAGTAGTGTCCTGTGTGTCAGTAGTCAGTAGTGTCCTGTGTCAGTAGTGTACTGTGTGTCAGTAGTGTCAGTGTGTGTCAGTAGTGTCCTGTGTGTCAGTGTGTCAGTAGTGACCTGTGTGTCAGTGTGTCAGTAGTGTCCTGTCTGTCAATGTGTCAGTAGTGTCCTGTGTGTCAGTGTATCAGTAGTATACTGTCTGTCAGTGTGTCAGTAGTGTCCTGTGTGTCAGTAGTGTCCTGTGTGTCAGTAGTGTACTGTCTGTCAGTGTGTCAGTAGTGTCCTGTCTGTCAATGTGTCAGTAGTGTCATTAGTGTACTGTCTGTCAGTGTGTAAGTAGTGTGTCAGTAGTGTCCTGTGTGTCAGTGTATCAGTAGTATACTGTCTGTCAGTGATTCAGTAGTGTCCTGTGTGTCAGTAGTGTCTTGTCTGTCAGTGTGTCAGTAGTGTCCTGTGTGTCAGTGTGTCAGTAGTGTCCTGTCTGTCAGTGTGTCAGTAGTGTACTGTCTGTCAGCGTGTCAGTAGTGTCCTGTCTGTCAGTGTGTCAGTAGTGTCCTGTCTGTCAATGTGTCAGTAGTGTACTGTCTGTCAGTGTATCAGTAGTATACTGTCTGTCAGTGTGTCAATAGTGTCCTGTCTGTCAATGTATCAGTAGTGTCATGTCTATCAGTGTGTCAGTAGTATACTGTCTGTCAAAGTGTCAATAGTGTCCTGTCTGTCAATGTGTCAGTAGTGTCCTGTCTGTCAATGTGTCAGTAGTGTCCTGTCTGTCAGTGTGTCAATAGTGTCCTGTCTGTCAGTGTGTCAGTAGTGTCCTGTCTGTCAGTGTGTCAGTAGTGTCCTGTCTGTCAGTGTGTCAGTAGTGTCCTGTCTGTCAGTGTGTCAGTAGTGTCCTGTGTTTTTTGTCGTGCGCCGATATTACGTTACTAAGGTAACTGTATGACGATTCTTTTTCACGACACGCCGGTTACAGGACTTTTTCTTTTGTTTTCTTATTTGAGACAGATTTCCCCTTCAAGTGATATATAAGTCATCTTTTTTTATCAATAACTCTCACAGCAATAATTGCAGTGCACGAATTTTTTGGACAACCCTCGTATAACTAAATTTGTGGTATTTTTTTATAATATGGTAACACCCCCTTCACAATAAATCGACCAGGGAACTCATTTGGTTATTCGCGTGAATCCCCAACTACGTACCAGAAGGTAGTTGGTTATTCGAATATAACATGTATTTCTCTAAAAATAGAAAATAATTATTACAAAAAAAGTAACAGATATATGACACGATAGATGAATTCTACCAAATGGTATCACCACGTCTCCCTATACGTCGACCAGGGGACTAAGTTTGTCATTCTTGTGAATCCCCAACGAACTACCAGAAGGTAGTTGGTAATTCGGACTTCTGATAGGTAGTTGGGGATTCGCGAAAATAAACAACTAGCTTAAGTCCCCGTCTTTATTCTGTGTTCAAAAATGTATGATGTGTTGTAACATTTTCATGCTGGTGATAGTGTATTGAATTACCAACTACCACCTAAATAGTTGGGAATTACGAATAACCAACTACAGTTAGTGGGTAGTTGGTTATTCGAATATCTAACTACCAACTATTCCTACTAAATTAACGCTCATTACTTTCTAAAGAACGACAAATTTATTCATTTCTAAGATTAAATGCGCTTTCAAATTACGGAGCAGACATAATTAAGAAATAAGCTACATACATTTTAATATACCAGCGTGGAGTTTACGTCATTGCAACATTAAATCTCTTTTTCTGTAAATAAATGCTCACCAAAACATAATTTCATGTGGGTTTTTTTTCTACTAAACTAAAGGTTAAGTTACATTAATTTTGAAGAAAAAAAAACATCCTAAAATGTACGTTTGAAATATTTTGTTTGTTTGTTTGTACATGAAGTTACGTATACTTATTTATCCATGAATTTAAACTGAGTTTAAATTCAATCTGTAATGATGTCATATATTTAAAAAAAATGGGTTTCTATTTTATGGTTTTCAGAGCATTTTCCATTCTCGGTGTGTACATCATAGCTGGCGTCATCATCAAAAAGGTAGTTTATAAAGCAGAGGGAAGTGACTTGATTCCTAATACTGGTTTCTGGTGTGCACTGCCGTCCCTAATAAAGGTAAATGTTTATAAATTGTAGAAAAACTAAATACACGACACTTAAACAAAAAAATTTGATACTCTCCCTTACTACAAATGGACTGGTCCTCTGTCAGAAATGGTCAGAAATGGCCAGTCCATTCATTATTATTCAGGAATATTTTTAAAATATGTACTGATTAAAAAGCAAACTGTGCAGACCATGCTCAGACGACATGGAGTGACCGACTGATGGCACGAGTAAAATCTGTTGCCGCCTGAAGGTTAAAGGTTAAGTGCACCTTTAAACAAAATATTATAGTTTTTCGGTAATGTACTGTTACATATATTTAAGTTATATTCGCTTATTTTGGAATCAAAATAGCTTTAAATATGATGTGCTAATTTCGGAGTTTTGAGATTTTTAACATTTCATATTTGATATATTGACTCAATTGAAGGATAGAAAGTCTTTTGAATTGACATTCATTAAATTCCACAATTCTGATATATTTTTATGTTGTATACTTCGTTTAAAGCACACTCCACATTGGTATTCCATCGGTTAAGCGTTTCTTTGAGACAGATATGTTTGGTTGGCAGGGCGAATTGGCAAAATTACGAATACACAACTGGGCGAATAGGCGAAGCTACAGAAACGCAACAAGCTTTTCGAACTATCAATGACTGCTGAGTTTTCGTACACGTTTCGTTTTTTTTTTCGCCATGCTGCAAGAATAACTTAAACTTTGCAATAATCATCTCCAAAACGACCATCAAATCAATGTAAATAACGCTGTACAGAGAGGGTCGCTCTGTAGCGGTATGACTGTACAACATTATCATTTTTGTTATATGTGTATGTGACTTGCAGTCAGTAACTATATCACAATCAGCGGTTTTGTCATTTTTTTCAGGAGGGGGCATGCTGCGTGTATACAAGAGGTGTCAAAAGAAAACAGTACGATTCTGTCCCGTAATCTCTTTAATACAATAATTATGTATATATATTTTAAAACATTATGTATGTCAAATTGAATATTTATAAAAATCACATACCCGTGCCACTGTCAACATCTGATATATAGTGTTTATCACATATCCATCCTGCTTTTGCAGTATTGAACAACCGTATTTTGACGTGTCGACATTTGCATTGTAAACATAGTGTACAGACGCCCTAAATGTTAGCGTTACAATATAGGCGCGTCAATGACAAATTATTCTTTTTCACTTTAATAGTCTTTATTTTGGGTATGTGATAAAAAGAACATTATATCCGTGTATGTTTATTACTGAATTTATTGAACTCGTTGAATAAAATAATATTATGCTCGCTAGAGGCTCGCATAAAATAATCCTAAAATAATTAAACTCGTTCAATAAATTCAGTATTGAACTTACGTTCTTTCAATATCCTCTATATGTTTTGTAAATTTATAGTATTGTTTTGATGATTTTAGTAGGATATCTCATCACAGCACCATCATTTTACATAAGAAGCAACATACACTATAGTATATAGATTGTTTGTTTGTTTTGGGTTTTATGTCACAGTATAGGTCATATCGCTACGTTCCAGCTTTACTAGTGGAGGAAGAACTCAGATGCCCTTCGTGCATTATTTCAGGCACGAACGGGCACCTGAGTAGAGCCACCGACGTTTCGTAAGCTAGCTGGATAGCTTACTCACATGTAAGAATCCAAAGTCCCTGTCGGGATTCGAACCCACAGCGGTGAGGTGCAAGTGGTTTGAAGTCAACGACCTTAACCACTCGGCCACGGCGCCCCTAGTAAATAGATAGTGGACTCTCTTGTAGTCAAACGTCCAAAATCCACGTTGATTTTACGATCCCCTATATATTCCGTGAACGTTTTCGTTCAAGTTTCTTCTTTTCGCAATTTGGCAATAGTTAGCTACCTTGCGACCAACGAATGCACTCTTCAGATGGACGCTCTGTAAAGGTTGAACTTGTACAAAAACGCTAGTGTTTTTTACCCCTGTTTGTAACACCCGAAGTTAGCCAAAATCGTCTTTACTGCTTCGGCGCCATATGACTTAAACTGTGCTGCGCCATAAAACAAACAAAAACAACAACAAACACCGGAAGTGTTCACGGAATATATAAATATCGACAGCCGTAAGTTCCAACGATGGTCATATCAATATCAAGTTATTATCATTAAATTTGTATACATGGCATTCAGTGACATTGGAACAGACTACTCTTAAAGTTATTGTCAGCATCTGATATATATTGTTTAAATATGTGATAAACGTCACTGATTTTTCTTTGTACTGAAAGTGTAAAATATTCATATTTTCAAACTTGAATTGCTTTTTAAATAGAGTTATTTATATGTCATTATCTTATGATATAAACTTACGATCCTTGTTTAAGGTTAATACATGTCATATTAAGACTCGCCATATGTATATTTGTATATCACATGCTTTGGTGTTCTTTTTCAAATTATTACACGATGACCTTTCACATGACAATATAACTACATGCTCACTGCAATGTTTTATGTATGTATACACAAACTTATGAATTTTGTACAATATATTTACGTCATGTTTGTCCGTTAGTGTCCAGTTTTCGTTTCTTTGTCGAAAACAGGAACGATGGCAAATTCGTAGATTTGATCCGTCGATAGATAAAATATTTGCAAACCAAGTACCACATTAGATTATTGCTTGTTATATCCGTCCAAGAAAAAGACATTTATTTTAATTGGACAATTTGTTCATGTTATGTGAAGACGTCGGCGAGAAATTTCCCAAAATTGTTTTTTGAAAGTAGAACCACCGACCCTGCCTATGAGAATACACAGTCGTAAACCGTAACATTACAGAGTTATTCATTTTTCCGGTGAATTAACTTTCCATAATGAAACCTAGCCCACCATAAAAAGAAACTGAGCTAACCGACCGGCGAGAGAAACAAAGACCATCCAGGGATTCGAATCAGTAGCATTCTCGATCACAACACAACGAATGATAAGCCAAAAAATATATGTACTTGATACATAAAACAGTGATTTATTACCTATTTATTCTCAAAATTTGACTTTCTTTTATTACATTTTAATTCATTTTACATTTTTTTATCCTTTTTATGTTAATTCTAACTATAAATCGCTGTTTTCTTTAATAGTCACTCCCTTCTGGATTAAAGAGACTTTGCTCAGAAAAAAGAAGGCAAAAACCTCAGTGTAATTGCAAACGTTTATTTTTCCAAGTTACATGAAGGGTGGTTGTTTACAGACGTTTGACACGAAATATTTTATATACGCACTACGTGACAATTCAAGCATTTATAAAGACCAGTCAAGCCCCATTGAAATCTCCTTACTGGGTATAAAACGGAAATTTAACAAGCATTTGAAGCGTTCAATTGATCGAAAATAAGCTCTAAAGTACCGCAATAAAAATGCTATAACTTAAATTGTTGCGTTTATTTTGTTCTTGCGCGTGTCAAAATAATTTCACACGTGCCGTAATTGTAAAGTTCTCACTGATCAGTTTTATTAAGCATTTATATCATAAATTTTAAATGAAGTACGTCTTAAGAAACGCGAAATGAGTATCTACTTTTCGCTTTTTATTGCTCATTTCCCTCTAAACTTTTAGCCCCGACAGCATTTCATGTTACTGAAGAAGTAACGTTTTTTAATCGGTGTATTTTTTTATATTGTTTATTCAACATATTGTATGCAAGCCTGCAATCAAATTCAACACACAATTGGTTTTTTATTCTTTCTGATTCATCCTTAATGTCGTGCTAAAAAGACGGCTAAAGTAAATTTGATATTGACGTGATTTGTGGCAATTTTCTCAGGTCAGGTTGATTTGTTAAAAAGGTGAAATCACTTGCAAGGTTTTGGTTTAAACAAGAGGCACAACTGTTCGCACCAAAAAAGACTCTTGTTAAAACATACTGTATGACAATGTATTTGTAATTTTAATTGCAGTCTTTAGAAGTCCCTGACTAAATCAAGGGCATAAGTCAGTTGTGTAGATTCGCTTGGTATTCTGACATTTGAAAGAGAAATTCTAGAACTTTTTAATGGTTTGTCAAACAGCAAAATAAAAATAATAAAATAAAACAATTGTGGGATAAATTGATAACACGTATATAGGCACGAGAACCAACTCACACGTGCTAAATTTATGCGGGGATTGTCTGAGTTTTAACGGAGCTCGGAAAAAAACTTTGAGATACATTTATGTTATACATATATCTGGAATCCTCAAAAGATTTAAAGAGTTTTCTTTATTTTAACTGTGGTTAGAAAAGAGTCATTCAATAGAATTGGGTTATATTACATAGAAGCATGCAAGTGTAGCGTTTTCTTGTAGCAATGGACATAACCAACATTGCCGTTTATTTAAAAGAAACCCTGAAGAAGATCCTGGACTATCCTTGCGGAAAACACATGTAGAAATGTTTGGTATACTATTAGATTTCTTCTTATATATGGTTGAGTGCAATATTGAATTCTTTTGTACGACACACAGCTGTAAAACCTATATTGGACGGGGCGCTAGTTGAGTCTGATATACGTTTCGACTCCACTAGAATCAGTATTGAACTCAGCAATGTATAATTAACATCTTTATTTCACTCCACCATTTTATGACATTTTGAAATAACTATCACTTCAAGTACAATAAGAAATTTGTAAGAAGTTTTTGACCTTGAAAATGAGGCTATTTAGAGTACGATATACATTTTGTGTAGATATTTTTGACTCTAAAAATGAAAAAGAGGTTATATGGGGTCCGATATGCTTTTGATATGGATTCTTTGAACTATGAAAATAGAAACGAGGCTAAATTGATGAGATTAATTACCTGGTATGAAATATAAGGCTATCAATGTCAAAGACTGACAGATATTTGCACTGCATGAAAACAATCAACATCTTTAAGCGGGTGATAAAAACTGGAAAGCAATCAACCCGGTTTGAATTGCAATTAAAATAAAAATGTCTAAGATTTCTTCAGATTTTAAATCATTAGTCTCGTATATTAACGCGGGCGATTGCGCGCGCTTATAAGAGGTCACGATCTCCCGCAGACGATAAGTCGTTGAACTGGACTGTCGTCTGCATCGCAATTGTCGTCTGCTTTTCATGTCATGTCAAATAATCCTTAAATTTTTTAAAAGATCAACAGCTATCCGTGTTGAAACAGAATATAATACGAGGGGAATTCCGACTGGTCTTTAAAATCCAATTTTCTGTGCAATTTTGAAGACTTTTGAGTTAGCATTGTAAATTAAAAATAATATTTGACACAAACGTTCATAAGCGGACAGAGCAATTAGTATAAGAATTGCCGATTGTAAATTAATCATATTGCAGACCCGTGAGACAGTTTTGATGTTGAAAATCTTCATCATGGTGATCTTTTTAACAAGGCCTTTTCAGTTTATCATATCTTCCACAAGAAGACAAATAATAAAGTCAAATTTCCCTTCACCAATCATGGAATGATACCTAATCCACCAAAAGAAAATATTTGCTAGTAAATAAGAAAACGGTGTAGTAAATTAAATATTTTAAAACATGTCTCCAGATTCATGCCAATTTTCATGAAAATTTTGAAAATCTATTAAAAAGTTGTTTTTTTTGTTTTTTTTTTTAAGTGAACAAAGTCAGTAATTTAAACATTGCAAACGGCACTTGCATGTGTACAGTCCACGTAAATTACCAAAAAGAGGTCAAAATATGCAAAATTACGCCTATCTGCGTTAGTAACGCAGTAGAAATGTAGTGATAATTACTCCAAAATAAGTGATTAACGGCACATATTAACATATTAACATTACTACTTGAATCTTTTTACTTTTCTTAAAATCTTAGTACCTTTTTCTCAAGTTTGATTTTCTTGAACTTATTTTGGTTCATCTGGACGCATACATCTTTAAGATGGATTCAATTTGTTCTTATTAGTATGTTTATAAACTTTAAAGTCTTATTTACATTTTGTATATCTTATGTCTGTACATATAAGGAATGGTATAATTGTATGTTTTTAGCTCACCTTGCACAAAGTGCAGGTGAGCTTTTAGGATGGCCAACCAAATGGCGTCCGTCGTCAGTCGTCCGTCCACATTTTAAATATTCTAAGGACATCTTCTATGATACCGCAAGGCCAATGTTAATGAAACTTGGCAGGACTACTCTTTGTATGAAGCTCTATCAAGATTGTTGAAAGAATTCCATTTCATGCAGAACTCTGGTTGCCATGGCAACCGAAAGAAAAATCTTTAAATATCTTCTTTTAAAGAACCGTAAGAGCTAGAGCTTAGATATTTGGCATGAAACATCTTCTAATGAGTGTCTACCAAGTTTGTTCAAATAAAAGCCCTAGGGTCAAAATTGGCCCGGCCCCAGGGGGTCATTGATTTTCCCTATATGCATATAGTAAAAACTTAAAAAATCTTCTTTTAAAGAACCCAAAGAGCTAGAGCTAAGATATTTGGCATGAAACATCTTCTAGTGAGTGTCTA